TCGGATCAGAGTGGGTTAGGGTCAGAGCGGGTTAGGGTCAGAGTGGGTTAGGGTCAGAGTGGGTTAGGGTCAGAGTGGGTCAGAGTGGGTTAGGGTCAGAGTGGGTTAGGGTCAGAGTGGGTTAGGATCAGAGTGGGTCAGAGTAGGTTAGGATCAGAGTGGGTTAGGGTCAGAGCGGGTTAGGGTCAGAGTGGGTTAGGGTCAGAGCGGGTTAGGGTCAGAGTGGGTTAGGATCAGAGTGGGTCAGAGTGGGTTAGGGTCAGAGCGGGTTAGGGTCAGAGCGGGTTAGGGTCAGAGTGGGTTAGGGTCAGAGCGGGTTAGGATCAGAGTGGGTTAGGGTCAGAGCGGGTTAGGGTCAGAGTGGGTTAGGGTCAGAGTGGGTTAGGATCAGAGTGGGTTAGGGTGTCAGAGCGGTTTAGGGTCAGAGTGGGTTAGGATCAGAGTGGGTTAGGGTCAGAGCGGGTTAGGATCAGAGTGGGTTAGGGTCAGAGCGGGTTAGGGTCAGAGTGGGTTAGGGTCAGAGTGGGTTAGGGTCAGAGTGGGTCAGAGTGGGTTAGGGTCAGAGTGGGTTAGGATCAGAGTGGGTTAGGGTCAGAGCGGGTTAGGGTCAGAGTGGGTTAGGATCAGAGCGGATCAGAGTGGGTTAGGGTCAGAGTAGGTTCGGATCAGAGTGGGTTAGGGTCAGAGCGGGTTAGGGTCAGAGTGGGTTAGGGTCAGAGTGGGTTAGGGTCAGAGTGGGTCAGAGTGGGTTAGGGTCAGAGTGGGTTAGGGTCAGAGTGGGTTAGGATCAGAGTGGGTCAGAGTGGGTTAGGGTCAGAGCGGGTTAGGGTCAGAGAGGGTTAGGGTCAGAGTGGGTTAGGGTCAGAGCGGGTTAGGATCACAGTGGGTTAGGGTCAGAGCGGTTTAGGGTCAGAGTGGGTTAGGATCAGAGTGGGTTAGGGTCAGAGCGGGTTAGGATCAGAGTGGGTTAGGGTCAGAGTGGGTTAGGGTCAGAGTGGGTTAGGATCAGAGCGGATCAGAGTGGGTTAGGGTCAGAGTAGGTTAGGATCAGAGTGGGTTAGGGTCAGAGCGGGTTAGGGTCAGAGTGGGTTAGGGTCAGAGTGGGTTAGGGTCAGAGTGGGTTAGGGTCAGAGAGGGTTAGGGTCAGAGTGGGTTAGGGTCAGAGAGGGTTAGGGTCAGAGTGGGTTAGGGTCAGAGTGGGTTAGGGTCAGAGTGGGTTAGGGTAAGAGTGGGTTAGGGTCAGAGTGGGTTAGGGTCAGAGCGGGTTAGGGTCAGAGTGGGTTAGGGTCAGAGTGGGTTAGGATCAGAGTGGGTTAGGGTCAGAGCGGGTTAGGGTCAGAGCGGGTTAGGGTCAGAGTGGGTTAGGGTCAGAGCGGGTTAGGGTCAGAGCGGGTTAGGGTCAGAGCGGGTTAGGGTCAGAGCGGGTTAGGGTCAGAGTGGGTTAGGATCAGAGTGGGTTAGGATCAGAGTGGGTTAGGGTCAGAGCGGGTTAGGGTCAGAGCGGGGGACTTTCTATGGGCTTTTATTTTCCCATCAGTAAAAGAATAACAAGGACTGATGCCAAGGGTGGTTTCAAGAACGTTTACTACAGATATGTTATATAAATGTATTCTGCCCAAACACACTCACAGTCTGATACTTGGAGCTCTCCACATGTAGCAGCACATGTCTCACAGAACTTGTACTTGTACTTGTACTTGTACTTGTACTGCTGGTGCAGGCCAGTGGTAGAGGTTGTGGAACCTGCATCAGCCATGCCCACTTCGTCTTACTCCAGGTATGTCCAAACTCAGGCCCCCGGGCCAATTTCGGCCCTCTGGGCCATTTAATGTGGCCCTCTGCTGCTAACACAAAGTCACCATTGAGGCACTTTGACAGTGTCATCCAGCCAACTTCAGCTCCATCATTACAGTCATGCTATATCTTGCTGTAAATCTCAGACTCTCTGGAATCCAGTCGTTGACTCTATGGTTACTTACTTACATTTGTTTTATGATTGTGTTTGGACACGCGTGTCCATGACGCTGGAGGAGGGTCTGAGCTACAGCGATATCCAAATCCTACAGACATAGACTTTGAAAACCTGTCAATACTTTATTTAAATGTGAAGAGTAAACTAAAAGGTTTAAAATTAGCCTTTGTACAACATTCTACAATTTAAAATAAGTAAATTATAAGACACTGTTGTTAGGTATAGACAGTGTTTTCCTCTCAGTGACACAGAAACATGTCCGTAACTCAAAACACACTTATCTCAGGTACAATGTTCTGAAGGAGCTCAGGTACAATGTTCTGAAGGAGCTCAGGTACAATGTTCTGAGGGAGCTCAGGTACAATGTTCTGAAGGAGCTCAGGTACAATGTTCTGAGGGAGCTCAGGTACAATGTTCTGAAGGAGCTCAGGTACAATGTTCTGAGGGAGGGTTTTTCCAGAGACTTGAACGATCAAATAATTATTTCTATGTTTGGGGGAAAAATTATTCAAAATGTATGAAAATGACCTCTTTCTGGGAGGGTTTGCTTCGTCCATGTTTTCACTCTGAAGGGACAGGAAGCTGGTGTCATGTGACAGGAAGCTGATGTCACGTGACAGGAAGCTGGTGTCATGTGACAGGAAACTGATGTCACGTGACAGGAAGCTGATGTCATGTGACAGGAAGCTGATGTCACGTGACAGGAAGCTGGTGTCATGTGACAGGAAGCTGATGTCATGTGACAGGAAGCCGATGTCACGTGACAGGAAGCTGGTGTCATGTGACAGGAAGCTGATGTCATTTGACAAGAAGCTGATGTCATGTGACAGGAAGCTGATGTCATGTAACAGGAAGCTGTTGTCATGTGACAGGAAGCTGATGTCATGTAACAGGAAGCTGTTGTCATGTGACAGGAAGCTGATGTCATGTGACAGGAAGCTGATGTCATGTGACAGGAAGCTGATGTCATGTGACAGGAAGCACAGGAAACATGATTTTTAAAACTCTCAAACTTTGTCGAAGTTGTTTACAGCAAATAAGTGCAAACCTGCATCAACACCTTTGAGTTTTTAATCTGTGAGAAGAACATTACAATGATAAACTTCAGCAACTACAGCTGCCGGTCCGGCCAAATAGGTTATTACAGTAACACTGAGAAGGGCAGGGCCTGGTTAGTGCTGTGATGGGAGACCTCAGAACACCAGGTGCCACATTAGAATGAGTCTTTTGTGTAAGTAAGTGTGTAAGCATTTTATATACCGCCTTTTCACTGCAGATCTGAGTCTCAAAGCGGTTTACAATTGTTAATTTTGGGCATTTGTCTCTCACTCCACACAGAGATGGGAGGGGCCAGTACAGGAGGCACATGCCAGAACTATTGGACATATTTTTAGTGGTAGGGGAAACCAGAGGACCCGGAGGAAACCTACGCAGACACGGGGAGAACATGCAAACTCCACTCAGAAAGGCCCTGGTCCGACCGGGATTTGAACCCAGGACCTTCTTGCTGAGAGGCGAGAGTGCTATCCACTCAGCCACCGTGCCGCCCGTGTGTGTGTGTGAATGGAGGAGCTTCTGTCAGTGTGCCCCAGGGCAGCTGTGGCTACAATAATAGTTTATCACTGCTGTGTTCAGAGTGAAGTGAGTCCTGAATAAAATGAAACCGATGCTAAACATGTTCAAGAACAATCGAACCTGTCGCAGCAACGAACACAAAGTGCAAAATATTTATGGATCAAAGCGACGCTTTTAGAAGCAGCTCCAGTCCCTGAGGAAGTGTGGAGACACTGAGGAGTCCTGCTGCTGAGTCCTGCTGCTGAGTCCTCCTGCTGAGTCCTCCTGCTGAGTCCTCCTGCTGAGTCCTCCTGCTGAGTCCTCCTGCTGAGTCCTCCTGCTGAGTCCTCCTGCTGAGTCCTCCTGCTGAGTCCTGCTGCTGAGTCCTCCTGCTGAGTCCTCCTGCTGAGTCCTCCTGCTGAGTCCTGCTGCTGAGTCCTCTGCTGAGTCCTGCTGCTGAGTCCTCCTGCTGAGTCCTCCCTGCTGAGTCCTCCTGCTGAGTCCTCCTGCTGAGTCCTCCTGCTGAGTCCTGCTGCTGAGTCCTGCTGCTGAGTCCTCCTGCTGAGTCCTCCTGCTGAGTCCTCCTGCTGAGTCCTGCTGCTGAGTCCTGCTGCTGAGTCCTCCTGCTGAGTCCTCCTGCTGAGTCCTCCTGCTGAGTCCTGCTGCTGAGTCCTCCTGCTGAGTCCTGCTGCTGAGTCTGCTGCTGCTGCTGCTGAGTCCTGCTGCTGAGTCCTGCTGCTGAGTCCTGCTGCTGAGTCCTCCTGCTGAGTCCTCCTGCTGAGTCCTCCTGCTGAGTCCTGCTGCTGAGTCCTCCTGCTGAGTCCTGCTGCTGAGTCCTGCTGCTGAGTCCTGCTGCTGAGTCCTGCTGCTGAGTCCTCCTGCTGAGTCCTGCTGCTGAGTCCTCCTGCTGAGTCCTGCTGCTGAGTCCTGCTGCTGAGTCCTGCTGCTGAGTCCTGCTGCTGAGTCCTGCTGCTGAGTCCTGCTGCTGAGTCCTGCTGCTGAGTCCTACCTCCTGCTGAGTCCTGCTGAGTCCGGCTGCCTCCTCCTACTGCCTCCTCCTGCTGAGTCCTACTGCCTCCTCTTGCTGCCTCCTGCTGAGTCCTACTGCCTCCTCCTGCTGCCTCCTGCTGAGTCCTGCTGCCTCCTCCAGCTGAGTCCTGCTGAGTCCTACTGCCTCCTTCTGCTGCCTCCTGCTGCTGAGTCCTACTGCCTCCTGTTTCCTCCTCCTGCTGAGTCCTACTGCCTCCTGCTGCCTCCTCCTGCTGAGTCCTGCTGCCTCCTGCTGAGTCCTGCTGCCTCCTCCTGCTGAGTCCTACTGCCTCCTCCTGCTGAGCCCTGCTGCCTCCTGCTGAGTCCTGCCTCCTCCTGCTGCCTCCTGCTGCCTCCTCCTGCTGAGTCCTACTGCCTCCTCCTCCTGAGTCCTGCTGCCTCCTGCTGAGTCCTGCTGCCTCCTCCTGCTGCGCTCTTCATCACTTTAAACAGAGCCTCTCAGCTCTTTGCAGCTTCAGGCGACTGTTCGAGCAGCAACCCTCCTCCTCCCCATCGCGACCCCGGGAGTCGCAAGCTCATCATTTCTGTGTGTGTGTGTGTGTGTGTGTGTGTGTCTGTCTGTGTGTGTGTCTGTGTGTGTGTGTCTGTGTGTGTGTGTCTGTGTGTGTGTGTGTGTCTGTGTGTGTGTGTGTGTGTGTGTGCGTGTGTGTGTGTCTGTGTGTGTGTGTGTGTGTCTGTGTGTGTGTGCGTGCGTGTGTGTGCGTGCGTGCGTGTGTGTGTGTGCACTGTAATTCAACACTGAAGTACCGTTTTCATGTTTAACAGGTTTTTACTGTAGTTTGCAATGCATTATGGGTTGTTTAACTATAGCACAGATGCCCTTAACAGTAAAATGATAATGATTGGATATTTTGGAGCAGGGTCAAAACATTAGCTCAGGCTAACCTGATGATCTGTCAAAAATATAGACACAGAATCTGCCATCAGAACCATGTGGACATCAGAACCATGTGGACATCAGAACCATGTGGACATCAGAACCATGTGGACATCAGAACCATGTGGACATCAGAACCATCCTGTGGACATCAGAACCATGTGGACATCAGAACCATCCTGTGGACATCAGAACCATGTGGACATCAGAACATCAGAACCATCATGTGGACATCAGAACCATCATGTGGACATCAGAACCATCATGTGGACATCAGAACCATGTGGACATCAGAACCATGTGGACATCAGAACCATGTGGACATCAGAACCATCATGTGGACATCAGAACCATCATGTGGACATCAGAACCATGTGGACATCAGAACCATGTGGACATCAGAACCATGTGGACATCAGAACCATCCTGTGGACATCAGAACCATCATGTGGACATCAGAACCATGTGGACATCAGAACCATGTGGACATCAGAACCATGTGGACATCAGAACCATCCTGTGGACATCAGAACCATCCTGTGGACATCAGAACCATGTGGACATCAGAACCATGTGGACATCAGAACCATCATGTGGACATCAGAACCATCATGTGGACATCAGAACCATGTGGACATCAGAACCATGTGGACATCAGAACCATGTGGACATCAGAACCATCCTGTGGACATCAGAACCATGTGGACATCAGAACCATCCTGTGGACATCAGAACCATCCTGTGGACATCAGAACCATGTGGACATCAGAACCATGTGGACATCAGAACCATGTGGACATCAGAACCATCATGTGGACATCAGAACCATCATGTGGACATCAGAACCATGTGGACATCAGAACCATGTGGACATCAGAACCATGTGGACATCAGAACCATCCTGTGGACATCAGAACCATCATGTGGACATCAGAACCATGTGGACATCAGAACCATGTGGACAGCAGAACCATGTGGACATCAGAACCATCCTGTGGACATCAGAACCATCATGTGGACATCAGAACCATGTGGACATCAGAACCATGTGGACAGCAGAACCATGTGGACATCAGAACCATCCTGTGGACATCAGAACCATCATGTGGACATCAGAACCATCCTGTGGACATCAGAACCATGTGGACATCAGAACCATGTGGACATCAGAACCATCATGTGGACATCAGAACCATCATGTGGACATCAGAACCATGTGGACATCAGAACCATGTGGACAGCAGAACCATACTGTGGACATCAGAACCATGTGGACATCAGAACCATGTGGACATCAGAACCATCATGTGGACATCAGAACCATCATGTGGACATCAGAACCATGTGGACATCAGAACCATGTGGACAGCAGAACCATACTGTGGACATCAGAACCATGTGGACATCAGAACCATGTGGACATCAGAACCATGTGGACATCATAATTAATTAAAAGGTAATTCATCTCTTTTTCACATTAATGTGTGATGTTCAGCTGTTGGTCAGAAGATTGTTTTCTAGTGATTTAAATAAATCAGTGAGGCTTATATCTGAGTGAGGCTTATATCTGAGTGAGGCTTATATCTGAGTGAGTTGAAGTTGGTCGACACTAAACTAAATAACAGTCAATATAGAATGATCCAAATAAAATCTGCTGTATGTGTTCATGAATTATTAAACTGTGATTTACAGAAATGAAGCTTAAGCGCAAATTCAGACTGAAATACCGGGTGCAACTCCCCCCATCCAAGCCAACCAATCACACAGCCCGGCCAGCCTCGAGCACAGCCAATCACACAGCCAGGCCAGCCTCGAGCACAGCCAATCACACAGCCAGGCCAGCCTCGAGCCTCAGCCAATCACACAGCCAGGCCAGCCTCGAGCACAGCCAATCACACAGCCAGGCCAGCCTCGAGCCTCAGCCAATCACACAGCCAGGCCAGCCTCGAGCACAGCCAATCACACAGCCCGGCCAGCCTCGAGCCTCAGCCAATCACACAGCCAGGCCAGCCTCGAGCACAGCCAATCACACAGCCCGGCCAGCCTCGAGCACAGCCAATCACACAGCCCGGCCAGCCTCGAGCCTCAGCCAATCACACAGCCCGGCCAGCCTCGAGCACAGCCAATCACACAGCCGGCCAGCCTCGAGCACAGCCAATCACACAGCCCCGCCAGCCTCGAGCCTCAGCCAATCACACAGCCAGGCCAGCCTTGAGCCTCAGCCAATCACACAGCCCGGCCAGCCTCGAGCCTCAGCCAATCACACAGCCAGGCCAGCCTTGAGCCTCAGCCAATCACACAGCCCGGCCAGCCTCGAGCACAGCCAATCACACAGCCAGGCCAGCCTCGAGCCTCAGCCAATCACACAGCCAGGCCAGCCTCGAGCCTCAGCCAATCACACAGCCAGATTCAGATTCAGATTCATTTATTTGCCATTTGCAGTAAAACCACATTGGAAAAACTGTGCAAGACTACCCCGGTGTGCGCCAGACAGAGACGACACACACCAGAGCTCTTGCCACGGCGCCATCTTTCCGGCGCCATGCGACAAACAGTAGAATAAACAGCAGAGAGCAATAACATACAGGTTACAACAGACAGTTGGATAGAAAACATTGTGCTTTTTATAAACCACGGATTTTTTTTCGGGATGAGCACCTTCCGCAGCCGGCCCAATGTGGCTGTCAGAGGGGGGCGGGGTCAGGGAGGGGGTGAGTCGGAAACACAGTGAGGAGTGAAGGGGAGGGAGGGATCAGAGGGAGGCGGGGGGAGCGGGATCCAAGCTGGAACTGACTGAAAGAGTGTGAAATTTTTGTAGAGACCAGATTTATTATGATGGCCTTGGCCCGAGGAATGTGAGATAAGAGAGGAGGGAAGACACAGCAAGGAGAAAAACACATCTTCCTGTAACAAGGGACAATCTAGTATGCATTTTAGCAGTCAAAAACAGGCAGATATTCTATTAAATCCAATTAAACCGAATTGCGGCGCCCTCAGACCCCGTACACAGGGGCCAATCCAAGCCGGGTCAGAGAGTTCAAGCGTGACAAACAATGTCATTCAATCTCAATTCCAGAGTTTTATGCCCATCAAGTGAACGAGCGGCGAGATCTTTTATCAACTGTTCCACCAAAACCACTCTTCTTTGTCCAGCCACAGCGCTCTCAACCACGACTCGGTTAAGCTCCTTGTACATCCCATCAATTTTGTCGGCCAGCAGGTCGTGAATCTTGCGAACTGCCATGCCTCCGAATTTATGGTAGAATAGAACCGCTCCAAACCCAAACAGGAGGATCCCCACCACCAAAAAGCCAAAGATATATACGTTTTCCGAATCTTCAATGGACAGGGTCGACAGACAGAGGGGCTGAAACTTGTTCCAGCTGTCAAGAGTATACCCCGCTGGTGAAGTCCCGTCCGGGCACACGGGCTCTCCAGACCCACGCTTACGTGTTGAAAAGATAGAATCAATTGCGTTGAGGGACCAGTTAATCATTTCCATTCTGTTAAAGTTGTCTGTGGCAAAACTCCAGGAAAAAGACAAAAACAGGAGATAGCAAGCAGTCAGAAGCAGGAGCGTCTGAGACACGTCTTTGCTCGACGGAGGCGGAAGAGAGGAGCAGGCCAGGCCAGCCTCGAGCACAGCCAATCACACAGCCCGGCCAGCCTCGAGCACAGCCAATCACACAGCCCGGCCAGCCTCGAGCCTCAGCCAATCACACAGCCAGGCCAGCCTCGAGCACAGCCAATCACACAGCCAGGCCAGCCTCGAGCACAGCCAATCACACAGCCCGGCCAGCCTCGAGCACAGCCAATCACACAGCCCGGCCAGCCTCGAGCACAGCCAATCACACAGCCCGGCCAGCCTCGAGCACAGCCAATCACACAGCCCGGCCAGCCTCGAGCCTCAGCCAATCACACAGCCAGGCCAGCCTCGAGCACAGCCAATCACACAGCCCGGCCAGCCTCAAGCACAGCCAATCACACAGCCCGGCCAGCCTCGAGCACAGCCAATCACACAGCCCGGCCAGCCTCGAGCACAGCCAATCACACAGCCCGGCCAGCCTCGAGCCTCAGCCAATCACACAGCCCGGCCAGCCTCGAGCCTCAGCCAATCACACAGCCAGGCCAGCCTCGAGCCTCAGCCAATCACACAGCCCGGCCAGCCTCGAGCCTCAGCCAATCACACAGCCCGGCCAGCCTCGAGCCTCAGCCAATCACACAGCCCGGCCAGCCTCGAGCACAGCCAATCACACAGCCAGGCCAGCCTCGAGCCTCAGCCAATCACACAGCCAGGCCAGCCTCGAGCCTCAGCCAATCACACAGCCCGGCCAGCCTCGAGCACAGCCAATCACACAGCCCGGCCAGCCTCCTGCCAACCCTCTGACAGCAGAGCGGGCAGTTTAAAAGGCTGCCACTTCCTGATAAACAGCACTTCCTGAAGCTCTTTACTTTCACCTCCTCCTCTGGCTCCTGCTCTGGCTCCTGCTCTGGCTCCTGCTCTGGCTCCTGCTCTGGCTCCTGCTCTGGCTCCTGCTCTGGCTCCTCCTCTGGCTCCTGCTCTGGCTCCTCCTCTGGCTCCTGCTCTGGCTCCTGCTCTGGCTCCTCCTCTGGCTCCTGCTCTGGCTCTTCCTCTGGCTCCTCCTCTGGCTCCTGCTCTGGCTCTTCCTCTGGCTCCTGCTCTGGCTCCTGCTCTGGCTCCTGCTCTGGCTCCTGCTCTGGCTCCTGCTCTGGCTCTTCCTCTGGCTCCTGCTCTGGCTCCTGCTCTGGCTCCTGCTCTGGCTCCTCCTCTGGCTCCTGCTCTGGCTCCTGCTCTGGCTCCTGCTCTGGCTCCTCCTCTGGCTCCTCCTCTGGCTCCTGCTCTGGCTCCTGCTCTGGCTCCTGCTCTGGCTCCTCCTCTGGCTCCTGCTCAGGCTCCTGCTCTGGCTCCTCCTCTGGCTCCTGCTCTGGCTCCTCCTCTGGCTCCTGCTCTGGCTCCTCCTCTGGCTCCTGCTCTGGCTCCTGCTCTGGCTCCTCCTCTGGCTCCTGCTCTGGCTCTTCCTCTGGCTCCTGCTCTGGCTCCTGCTCTGGCTCCTGCTCTGGCTCCCTGGCTCCTGCTCTGGCTCCTGCTCTGGCTCCTGCTCTGGCTCCTCCTCTGGCTCCTCCTCTGGCTCTTCCTCTGGCTCCTGCTCTGGCTCCTCCTCTGGCTCCTGCTCTGGCTCCTCCTCTGGCTCCTGCTCAGGCTCCTGCTCTGGCTCCTGCTCTGGCTCCTCCTCTGGCTCCTGCTCTGGCTCCTGCTCTGGCTCCTGCTCTGGCTCCTCCTCTGGCTCCTCCTCTGGCTCCTGCTCTGGCTCCTCCTCTGGCTCCTGCTCTGGCTCCTGCTCTGGCTCCTGCTCTGGCTCCTGCTCTGGCTCCTCCTCTGGCTCCTGCTCTGGCTCTTCCTCTGGCTCCTGCTCTGGCTCCTGCTCTGGCTCCTGCTCTGGCTCTTCCTCTGGCTCCTGCTCTGGCTCCTGCTCTGGCTCCTGCTCTGGCTCCTGCTCTGGCTCCTCCTCTGGCTCCTCCTCTGGCTCCTCCTCTGGCTCCTGCTCTGGCTCCTGCTCTAGCTTCTGCTCTGGCTCCTGCTCTGGCTCCTGCTCTGGCTCCTGCTCCGCCTACGCCCCATTCACACCATGCTTCTAGCCCCCACCAGTGCTTGACCCCGGGGGGTCTGAGATCATCTTCAGCAGCAGTTTCAATGCCCAGGTCAATGCGCCAAATAAATAAATAATTTTAATGTATTATTGTCTGTCTTTGGTCTCTGTCGAGTCATTTTACCTATGAATACCGTAAAATAACGGTATACTGCTGCCTGCTCTTTACTGTCAATTGTGGTAATACAGGATGATGCTGTTTTCCTTTTTTACAGACTACTACCGTGAAGTCACTGTACGTTAAAATACCGTAAAATAACGGTAAAGATCAGCAACCCCTGCTGCCTGCTCTTTACCGTTAATTTACAGGAACATTATTTACAGTGTGTGAATGTGTCATCAATTTCATCAATTCATTGAAATGTACCACAGTATTCATGAGATAAGGACCACACCTAGGACAAAAATCATTGCATTGACCATCACACACCAGCAGCACACACAGACGCACACACACACACACCACACACACACACACACACACACACATATACACACACACCTGCAGCACACACTAAACCATCATGACCAAGCAGAAGCTGAGCTCACAGACTTCGATCATTTTGCAGAAAGGTACAGTGTGTGATGGGGATGCTGAGGCTGAGGCTGAGGCTGAGGCTGAGGCTGAGGCTGAGGCAGAGGCAGAGGCAGAGGCAGAGACTGAGACAGAGGCAGAGGCAGAGGCAGAGGCAGAGGCAGAGACTGAGACAGAGGCAGAGTCAGAGTCAGAGGCAGAGGCAGAGGCAGAGACTGAGACAGAGGCAGAGTCAGAGGCAGAGACAGAGGCAGAGGCAGAGGCAGAGACAGAGACAGAGGCAGAGTCAGAGGCAGAGGCAGAGGCAGAGGCAGAGACAGAGGCAGAGGCAGAGTCAGAGGCAGAGGCAGAGGCAGAGGCAGAGGCAGAGACAGAGGCAGAGTCAGAGGCAGAGGCAGAGGCAGAGGCAGAGGCAGAGACAGAGGCAGAGGCAGAGGCAGAGGCAGAGGCAGAGTCAGAGGCAGAGGCAGAGACAGAGGCAGAGGCAGAGAGGCAGAGGCAGAGGCAGAGACAGAGGCAGAGGCTGAAGCAGAGGCAGAGGCAGAGGCAGAGACAGAGGCAGAGACAGAGGCAGAGGCAGAGACAGAGGCTGAAGCTGAGGCAGAGGCAGAGGCAGAGACAGAGGCAGAGGCAGAGACAGAGGCTGAAGCTGAGGCAGAGGCAGAGGCAGAGACAGAGGCAGAGGCTGAAGCAGAGGCAGAGGCAGAGGCAGAGACAGAGGCAGAGGCAGAGGCAGAGGAGAGGCAGAGGCAGAGGCAGAGGCAGAGACAGAGACAGAGGCAGAGACTGAGGCAGAGGCAGAGGCAGAGGCAGAGGCAGAGGCAGAGACAGACAGAGACAGAGGCAGAGGCAGAGGCAGAGAGAGACAGAGACAGAGGCAGAGGCAGAGGCAGAGGCAAAGGCAGAGGCAGAGGCAGAGGCAGAGGCAGAGGCAGAGGCAGAGGCTGAGGCAGAGGCAGGGGCAGAGGCAGAGGCAGAGGCAGAGGCAGAGACAGAGGCAGAGGCAGAGGCAGAGGCAGAGGCTGAGGCAGAGGCAGAGGCTGAAGCAGAGGCAGGGGCAGAGGCAGAGGCAGAGGCAGAGGCAGAGACAGAGGCAGAGGCAGAGGCAGAGACAGAGACAGAGGCAGAGGCAGAGGCAGAGGCAGAGACAGAGACAGAGGCTGAGGCAGAGGCAGAGGCAGAGGCAGAGGCAGAGGCAGAGGCAGAGGCAGAGACAGAGACAGAGGCAGAGGCAGAGGCAGAGGCAGAGGCAGAGACAGAGGCAGAGGCAGAGGCAGAGACAGAGACAGAGGCAGAGGCAGAGGCAGAGGCAGAGGCAGAGGCAGAGGCTGAAGCAGAGGCAGGGGCAGAGGCAGAGGCAGAGGCAGAGACAGAGACAGAGACAGAGGCAGAGGCAGAGGCAGAGGCAGAGACAGAGACAGAGACAGAGACAGAGGCTGAGGCTGAGGCAGAGGCAGAGGCAGAGGCAGAGGCAGAGGCAGAGGCAGAGGCAGAGGCAGAGGCAGAGACAGAGACAGAGACAGAGACTGAGGCAGAGGCAGAGGCAGAGGCAGAGGCAGAGGCAGAGGCAGAGACAGAGGCAGAGGCAGAGGCAGAGACAGAGGCAGAGGCAGAGGCAGAGGCAGAGGCAGAGGCAGAGGCAGAGGCAGAGGCAGAGGCTGAGGCAGAGGCAGAGGCTGAAGCAGAGGCAGGGGCAGAGGCAGAGGCAGAGGCAGAGGCAGAGACAGAGGCAGAGGCAGAGGCAGAGACAGAGACAGAGACAGAGGCAGAGGCAGAGGCAGAGACAGAGACAGAGACAGAGGCAGAGACAGAGGCAGAGGCAGAGGCAGAGGCAGAGGCAGAGGCAGAGGCAGAGACAGAGACTGAGGCAGAGGCAGAGGCAGAGGCAGAGGCAGAGGCAGAGGCAGAGGCAGAGACAGAGACAGAGACAGAGGCAGAGACAGAGACAGAGGCAGAGGCAGAGACAGAGACAGAGGCAGAGGCAGAGGCAGAGGCAGAGGCAGAGGCAGAGGCAGAGGCTGAGGCAGAGGCAGAGACAGAGGCAGAGGCAGAGGCAGAGGCAGAGGCAGAGACAGAGGCAGAGGCAGAGGCAGAGACAGAGGCAGAGGCAGAGGCAGAGGCAGAGGCAGAGGCAGAGGCAGAGACAGAGGCAGAGGCAGAGGCAGAGACAGAGGCAGAGGCAGAGGCAGAGGCAGAGACAGAGGCTGAGGCAGAGGCAGAGGCAGAGGCAGAGGCAGAGGCAGAGGCAGAGGCAGAGGCAGAGGCAGAGGCAAAGGCAGAGGCAGAGGGGTGTGGCAGATCCAGGCCACATGCAGCAGCTCCAATAAAACTACCTCCACATTCTGTAAGTGATGCAACCAGTGGCAACAGGACAATGGTGATATCATGGTACACACATTGTACACACATGGTACACACATAGTACACACATGGTCTAATGCTGCTGATACTGCATACAGGAGTCACTTCATGTACTATAAATCCAGACCATACACTGTAAGTCCTGCCTATTGGTAAATGGTTTGATGAATGGATGCACTGACCTGCTCCGTGAGAAACCTATTCACCTAAACATCTGAAAATATGGAGTGTCAAAATCACAGATGAAAAAAATGGTCTTATTGTAAACCAGAGGAGCCGAGCGTAAGGTCTGCATCACGAGAATAACAGGTATTTACAACTCCACGGTGGTCTTTTATCAAACCCAGACCCAGATGTACTGAACGGTGTGTGGCCAAAACACAATAGATGTATACACCGCACCACAACTGCATTTGTCTGTGTCTGTGGTGAAGGAGGGTTCGGGGCGTCGAGCGCAAAAAGCAAGGTCCAGGATTACGTCTGTTCTTCTTTGCAACAAACACACAAAAATAGCTCTAAGAAATGTCAGGTGTGAAATAGCCATTGGGGCTGTGAGCGACGCACGCACAGAATGAAAGAATGAAAGAAAGAATGAATGGATGGAGATAAAAACGTAAGGATTCATAAACGAGGACAATGAGTGACAGAAACAGCGCGTCTACGTCACGTCCAAGTCTCTGTGATCGCGTTGTCCTTCAATAATGTTGAGAAAATGTCCTTACCCTTTAATCCCAGAGATCTCGATCCAGAGCAAACGCCTTTACGCAGAGCACAGCTGCCACCGAGAGACGCAGATGCTTTGGTCCGGTCCAATGGGGGCCCGAGTCTGGTCTGGGGGAGACAGGGGCGTGTCTGCGGGCCGGGGGGACAGGGGCGTGTCTGCGGGGCCCCCTCCAGAGACAGGGGCGTGTCTGTGGGCCGGGGCAACAGGGGCGTGTCTGCGGGGCCCCCACCGGTGACAGGGGCGTGTCTGTGGGGGGCCCCTCCGGAGACAGGGGCGTGTCTGTGGGCCGGGGCAACAGGGGCGTGTCTGCGGGGCCCCCACCGGTGACAGGGGTGTGTCTGTGGGCCGGGGGGACAGGGGCGTGTCTGCGGGGCCCCCACCGGTGACAGGGGCGTGTCTGCGGGGCCCCCTCCAGAGACAGGGGCGTGACTGTGGGCCGGGGGGACAGGGGCGTGTCTGCGGGGCCCCCTCCAAAGACATGCTGCTTTCACTGGATGCTTTGGCACCTTTCATGTCTCGGATCCATATTCTAATGAGCAGTGCACAGAAGTTTGGAAGAATCCTGAGTTTACAGAAGGAAAGAATAGAGACATAGAGATTATTAAACATAGCACAATTCTATACTTTAAATAAACCTCTATCTTTAGCTTAATAAAGAAACAAAGTATTAATTACTGTAAAATAATCTGTTATGCTTTAGATTATTCTTTTCTACGATTGTATTTATGTTAAATGTTAAAGCTACTTTAGAGATTTACATCCAGTTGACTGAATATAACCTTTACATCTGTGTTGGCTGAGATGAAGTTGGCTGGATGACACTTTAGGTCTGAGTTTGGACAGAACTGTAGTGTTTGATTCTGTTTCTGATCTGATAAAACATTTGTGCTGCTGCAGTGAGATCTGTGCCAACGACAAATCCTTCACTTTACAGAGAAATATCTCCTTTAGTTCAGTTTTAACCAAATTCATCAGTTTCAGACTTTTGTTTATGAGTCTTTGAAGTTGATTCCAAAGTGTTGGTACCTGACAGATTAGTCGTCCTCAGAGGTCAGTGTTTCTGCCACAGGACAACAGCGCCATCTGCAGTCCCACTTCTTCAGGACAGAATCCCAGGTGTGAGAGAGAAGGACTGCCCTCTCGTCCCGGTTCATCGTCGGTGTTCGTGGTCCTCGGGCCCTTTGATAACTGCTGAACTGTGCTATACACATAAACTTGCCTTACTGTAAATGTCCCTAAATGAAACCACACAAAGGTTCACAATAACAACATATTATTATATATTTAATAATATATAAAAATTGCTGTAATATTTAATAAAAACCACAAAGTGTCACAAGAAACAAGAAGTCGTTTATTCACGTTTCTTACAGGTTCAAGTACAAAGTTAAAATGCCTTAGTTCATTTCATACAAGAGTAAATAATAATAGTGCCATTTTCTGACTACGACAAACTTAAATACAGTCAAAACAACAAGATTCAAAATCCTAACAATATATTTTTATTTCAGATAAAATTTTAGCACCTTTTTGAAAAACATCCACAAGTTCCTCTTTCTTAAAAACTCCTCATGGTCCTTGAGATGCAAGCGCCGTGTGTGTGTGTCTGTGTGTGTGTCTCTGTGTGTGTGTCTGTGTGTGTGTGTCTGTGTGTGTGTGTCTGTGTGTGTGTCTGTGTGTGTGTGTGTGTCTGTGTGTGTGTGTCTGTGTGTGTGTCTGTGTGTGTGTCTGTGTGTGTGTCTATGTGTGGGTCTGTGTGTGTGTGCGTCTGTGTGTGTGGGTCTGTGTGTGTGTGCGTCTGTGTGTGTGCGCGTTTGTGTCTGTCTGTGTATGTGTGTGTGTGCGTCTGTCTGTGTGTGTGTGTGTGTGTGTCTGAGTGTGTGTGTGTGTCTGTGTGTGTGCGTGTATGTCTGTCTGTGTGTGTTTGTGTGTTGTAGCTGACAGTGTTGTTTCTTGTGGTTCAGTTTGAATCAGTAAAAAAAGCGCATTTTTCAGCCTAAAAACCGTGTCCAGATGAAACCAAAGAGACTTCTGTCTCTGCAACATTTGATCATTCTCTCTGAACGAGCTGAAAGTCCCTGAGCTCACCGTGGTCCCTGAGCTCACCGTGGTCCCTGAGCTCACCGTGGTCCCTGAGCTCACCGTGGTCCCTGAGCTCACCGTGGTCCCTGAGCTCATCGTGGTCCCTGAGCTCACCGTGGTCCCTGAGCTCACTGTGGTCCCTGAGCTCACCGTGGTCCCCGAGCTCACCGTGGTCCCTGAGCTCACCGTGGTCCCTGAGCTCACTGTGGTCCCTGAGCTCACTGTGGTCCCTGAGCTCACCGTGGTCCCTCTGGTCCCTGTGCTCACTGTGGTCCCTGAGCTCACTGTGGTCCCTGAGCTCACCGTGGTCCCTGAGCTCACCGTGGTCCCTCTGGTCCCTGTGCTCACTGTGGTCCCTGTGTTCCAGAATAATGCCATGAAAATAAGGACTTAAATGTTGTAGGAAGAGCCGAGTCTGAGGCAGAATGAGGACTTTTTACTTTTCTGTGAAAAATCTGCTCTAAAGATAAAGCCAAACATACTTTCATTACAGGGACTTTTTGATGGTTTGAAATTCAGGTACCTCAGCTTTAAGCAAAACAGATTTGTTGTATTTTTTATCTAAGTTTCATCTCAGTAAAGAATGGTTATTTTGTTTTGCTGCAGATGGGACTCAAGGACTCCAGGACTACTCCAGGACTACTCCAGGACTACTCCAGGACTACTCCAGGACTACAGGACTACCCCAGGACTACTCCAGGACTACCCCAGGACTACAGGACTACCCCAGGACTACCCCAGCACTACTCCAGGACTACCCCAGGACTACAGGACTACCCCAGGACTACCCCAGGACTACCCCAGGACTACTCCAGGACTACTCCAGGACTACCCCAGGACTACTCCAGGACTACTCCAGGACTACTCCAGGACTACTCCAGGACTACTCCAGGACTACTCCAGGACTACTCCAGGACTACTCCAGGACTACCCCAGGACTACAGGACTACCCCAGGACTACCCCAGGACTACTCCAGGACTACCCCAGGACTACAGGACTACCCCAGGACTACCCCAGGACTACCCCAGGACTACCCAGCACTACTCCAGGACTACCCCAGGACTACAGGACTACCCCAGGACTACCCCAGGACTACTCCAGGACTACCCCAGGACTACTCCAAGACTACCCCAGGACTACCCCAGGACTACCCCAGGACTACAGGACTACCCCAGGACTACCCCAGGACTACCCCAGGACTACTCCAGGACTACTCCAGGACTACCCCAGGACTACCCCAGCACTACTCCAGGACTACCCCAGGACTACAGGACTACCCCAGGACTACCCCAGGACTACTCCAGGACTACCCCAGGACTACTCCAAGACTACCCCAGGACTACCCCAGGACTACCCCAGGACCCCAGGACTACCCCAGGACTACCCCAGGACTACCCCAGCACTACTCCAGGACTACCCCAGGACTACCCCAGGACTACCCAAGGACTACCCCAGGACTACTCCAGGACTACCCAAGGACTACCCCAGCACTACTCCAGGACTACCCCAGGACTACCCCAGGACTACTCCAGGACTACTCCAGGACTACCCCAGGACTACTCCAGGACTACCCCAGGACTACTCCAGGACTACCCCAGGACTACTCCAGGACTACCCCAGGACTACCCCAGGACTACTCCAGGACTACTCCAGGACTACCCCAGGACTACTCCAGGACTACCCCAGGACCCCAGGACTACCCCAGGACTACTCCAGGACTACCCCAGGACTACCCCAGGACTACTCCAGGACTACTCCAGAACCCCAGGACTACTCCAGGACTACCCCAGGACTACCCCAGGACTACTCCAGGACTACCCCAGGACTACCCCAGGACTACTCCAGGACTACTCCAGGACTACCCCAGGACTACTCCAGGACTACCCCAGGACCCCAGGACTACCCCAGGACTACCCCAGGACTACTCCAGGACTACCCCAGGACTACTCCAGGACTACTCCAGGACTACTCCAGAACCCCAGGACTACTCCAGGACCCCAGGACTACCCCAGGACTACTCCAGGACTACCCCAGGACTACCCCAGGACCCCAGGACTACTCCAGGACCCCAGGACTACTCCAGAACCCCAGGACTACTCCAGGACCCCAGGACTACCCCAGGACTACCCCAGGACCCCAGGACTACTCCAGGACCCGAGCTCGTCCAGAGAGAGTGCGTTCCTAATCTGTCCACTCTTTGCCTTTGAGCACAACAGACAAGTCACGATACGGTAACTAACTTTAAATACTCGCCGCTCTGGTCTTGTCTGGTCTTGCTCGGTCTAGCTCTGGTCTAGCTCTGGTCTAGAGGCCGAGACTGACCCGAGCCTGTCACAGCACACACACACACACCTACACAACAGGTTATTATTGTAGTATTATTATTATTATTGTTAGCATTACTCCCTAGTCTAACATCATGAAGCTGGAGATAACACGGAACTGACTGACATGCAGCACCTGGAGAAGAGAGGGGTCTGTCTGGGGAGAGGACTGAGGGGAGAGCACCAAAAGGCCCTAGGAGGTGTGGCGCCCCCTAGTGGACAGATGAGAGGAGGCCTGGTGGCAACAGTGGGACTGCCGTGTGTGTGTGATTGTGTGTAGTTAAGAAAGGAACCTATTATATCACATGGTCTCTTCTGTGTGTTGAGGATGCGTTAAGACCACGCCCACGAATGATTAAGACTACGCCCATCCAGGAAGTGACATCAGATGATAAAGAGAAAGGTCACCATAGATGGTGCACTTGCTAACCTTTCAGTATTTAAGCCAAAAACAGACAAAGTGAGCATCCTTAGACAAGAAAGTCCAACCTAAAAAGTAAAAAAACTAAAAGCTATTTCAATGTTTGTAAGCGGTAATTCAAGCTGGGATCAAATTCATTGTAGTTTGACCTTTTTGAAAAAAAAAATGACCAGAAAAATCTCACCCCTGACTGGGGTTTTCTGCCCCAGTCAGGGGTGAGGTACTGCACAGACTTTTAGTGGAGAAACCGGAGCACCTGGAAGAAACCTATGCAGACACGACACAGGCAGAACATGCAAACTCCAATCAGTAAGGCCCAGAACCCCGGCCTTTCTTACTGAGAAGCGAGTTAACCATTGTCCATGGACTTTGTGAGTGTGTCTCAGTGCAGTGACTTTGGAGAGCACCGGAGGAGAGCACCGGAGGAGAGCACCGGAGGAGAGCACCGGAGGAGAGCACCGGAGGAGAGCACCGGAGGAGAGCACCGGAGGAGAGCACCGGAGGAGAGCATCAGAGGAGAGCACCGGAGGAGAGCATCAGAGGAGAGCACCGGAGGAGAGCACCGGAGGAGAGCACCGGAGGAGAGCACCGGAGGAGAGCATCAGAGGAGAGCACCGGAGGAGAGCACCAGAGGAGAGCACCAGAGGAGAGCACCAGAGGAGAGCACCGGTGCAGCTGAAGCACCTGAAGTTTGGAGAGACCGGAAAGTAACGCTGCTGGTTCTTATTGTGACGACATGGAACTGTTATATTCCCGACAATACTGTCTATACTTCTGTCACTGTAATCTCACACTTGTAGTTACACATCTGCATTGTTAAATGTCTGGTAAAGTATTCTGAAGTCACAATATTTTGAAAAGAAAAAAAAAAAACAGGCGATCTGAAGCCACAATTCATAAAACAATGAAAGGAAACATGGCCTCCACCAGAGGGCGCTGAAACACTGAAACACATATTTGAAAGAAAAACAGGTTGTACTAAAAATATAAATTATTCAACATTGTAAAAAGCTCAGAACAAAATCCAGACGATTTTTCCTGAAACTAAAAAAATGGTCCAAAGAATCAGTTACAAATTACATTTCTCTAATTTGCAGCTCTGCTTTTGTCTCTCCATTAGTGCCTACAGTATGAACCAACTCTGAGGAGCACAGGGACTGGCCTCCTGACTCTGAGGAGCACAGGGACTGGCCTCCTGACTCTGAGGAGCACAGGGACTGGCCTCCTGGCTCTGAGGAGCACAGGGACTGGCCTCCTGACTCTGAGGAGCACAGGGACTGGCCTCCTGACTCTGAGGAGCACAGGGACTGGCCTCCTGGCTCTGAGGAGCACAGGGACTGGCCTCCTGGCTCTGAGGAGCACAGGGACTGGCCTCCTGGCTCTGAGGAGCACAGGGACTGGCCTCCTGACTCTGAGGAGCACAGGGACTGGCCTCCTGACTCTGAGGAGCACAGGGACTGGCCTCCTGGCTCTGAAGCCTAGCGTACATGGACAGAGAAACTGGGGACAACTAGTTTCCAGGCGGCTTTTGGCGACTGAGAGGAGACGATGGAGATGATCAGTTGAAATTGGTCGATGTGAGCGCTCTTACAACTGGAGATAAACTGTTGATCTCCGGATTCAGTCAGTTGCCCGTGTTCTACTTTTCGGCAACTAGTTGTCCTCAGATCCGGAGATATCACCGATGTACATGCTCCAACAACATGTGTGTGTTGCGTGTATTGCGCCCTCTACAGTTCATGTCAGAAAACACACTGTAGTTGAGGCCAGTTGCTGTTATTCCCCAGACTGGTCTGATACAGGAGCTGCCCATTTTCACCAGATTGTCGATGTGTGCGGGGCAGGAACTCATGCCACGGATATAATCAGTTACCAGTCCGATGTACGCTAGGCTTGAGGAGCAAAGGGACTGGCCTCCTGACTCTGAGAAGCACAGGGACTGGCCTCCTGCTGTGTTCCCATAAAGGATCTATGAATCTGATATTAGAATGTAACTTAAGTTATCATTTTGGTAAATCATATGTGGCTATGTGCTGAATGCTCTGTATTGTAATTCACTTTAGCTTCAGGAAGACCCCGGGAGGTCTGGGGAGCTCATATGCTAAGTGTCTTTTGTTGTGTTGGTTTCTTCCTTTCCCATCTGCATACGAAGGTGTGTCTTGTTCTACCAAAAGGGGCTTGCAGACTGTGAATCTTCAGACTTGTCCTGAGAGAGGCTGGGTCTGTGCCTTGCCTCTGTCAAGACATTCTCCTTGTACAATGTAACAAGTAAAAGATTAACTTTGTCTCTTTGTTGTGTGAGATTTCATCAGGTTCAACTGTAGCTGAAACAGCATTATCACTTGGTCCTTCGCTCGAAAACAAAGTTAATCTTTTACTTGTTACATTGTACAAGGAGAATGTCTTGACAGAGGCAAGGCACAGACCCCAGCCTCTCTCAGGACAAGTCTGAAGATTCACAGTCTGCAAGCCCCTTTTGGTAGAACAAGACACACCTTCATATGCAGATGGGAAAGGAAGAAACCAACACAACAAAAGACACTTAGCATATGAGCTCCCCAGACCTCCCGGGGTCTTCCTGAAGCTAAAGTGAATTACAATACAGAGCATTCAGCACATAGCCACATATGATTTACCATAATGATAAATTAAGTTACATTCCAATATCAGAATCTTAATCATTGGGGAGGCAGTCTCTCAGATTTATGCAGGCAAAGTCTTCCTGAAAATGTGAGACAGGTTTCTTCTCTGACAATATTCAAATCCAGGTAAAGCCTGTGTATCTGTCAGTCTTCTGAATGTACTGATTATTCATGATTCGAATGCCTCATGTGATTATTCTATGTTTGTCCAGCAGTGTATGAAGTTACAAATAAAAACCTTTTTTAAAACGACATTAAAACATGGTCCGTTTCTCCAGAAGCACCAAATGAAAGAAGTTAAAAGTTGCACCTTCGAGTACATCAGTGACTGTGATGTCACCGGGACTCACGGGAAGTGGTTTTCACGGTTTCCTTTGTGTAAAAACAAACAGGAAGTTGTAAGTTGTAGTTTGGAGGTCGAAGAGGACATCAGGCTGAGAGCAGACGGCCTCCCGTAGCACCAGGAGGAATAGCACCAGGGACTAACGACTAGTATTTAGCAAAGTAGATGAAGTCCTTTTGCGTATAACTGTGTGTGTGTGTGTGTGTGTGTGTGTGTGTGTGTGTGTGTGTGCGTGTGTGTGTGTGTCAGCTCTAGTTGCAGGCGAAGTACTCCTTCAGGGGTGCGAACAGGTGCCTGATGACCGGGACGCTCCAGGAGCGCCCCAGGAGCCGCTGTCTCGCCAAACGGCTCATGTTGGACACGTCGGTGTAGTGCACGGGGAAACCAAACACTCTGCAACACAACACACTATGGTTACACACTCTGCAACACAACACACTATGGTTACACACTCTGCAACACAACACACTACGGTTACACACTCTGCAACACAACACACTACGGTTACACACTCTGCAACACAACACACTACGGTTACACACTCTGCAACACAACACACTACGGTTACACACTCTGCAACACAACACACTATGGTTAAAGTCGTCTGAAAGTAAAAGGCACAGACAAAACAATCACACACATGTTGTTAGTGAGAAACTGATTTAAACGGCACTGGGTCCAGAGTCAGACCAGAGTCAGACCAGAGTCAGACCAGAGTCAGACCAGAGTCTTGATTGACTCTCTTCTTGATAACAGACTCTCAAAACAATAATGACCGCTGCCCTTTGGCAACGCACTCTCTGCTTGTAATTCAGGTGTGTACAGTAGGTACATACACACACAGAGACACAGGTACACAGAGACACAGAGACACAGGTACACAGAGACACAGGTACATACAGACACAGGTACATACAGACACAGAGACACAGGTACATACAGACACAGAGACACAGGTACATATAGACACAGAGACACAGGTACATATAGACACAGGTACATATAGACACAGGTACATACACACACAGAGACACAGGTACATATAGACACAGGTACATACAGACACAGGTACATACAGACACAGAGACACAGGTACATACAGACACAGAGACACAGGTACATATAGACACAGGTACATATAGACACAGGTACACACAGACACAGGTACATACAGACACAGAGACACAGGTACATAGAGACACAGGTACATACACACACAGAGACACAGGTACATACAGACACAGAGACACAGGTACATACAGACACAGGTACACACAGACACAGGTACATACAGACACAGGTACACACAGACACAGGTACATACAGACACAGGTACACACAGACACAGGTACATATAGACACAGAGACACAGGTACACACAGACACAGGTACATACAGACACAGGTACACACAGACACAGGTACATACAGACACAGGTACACACAGACACAGGTACATATAGACACAGAGACACAGGTACACACAGACACAGGTACATACAGACACAGGTACACACAGACACAGGTACATACAGACACAGGTACACACAGACACAGGTACATACAGACACAGAGACACAGGTACATACAGACACAGAGACACAGGTACATATAGACACAGGTACATACAGACACAGAGACACAGGTACACATAGACACAGGTACATATAGACACAGAGACACAGGTACATACAGACACAGAGACACAGGTACATATAGACACAGGTACATACAGACACAGAGACACAGGTACATATAGACACAGGTACATACAGACACAGAGACACAGGTACATATAGACACAGGTACATACAGACACAGAGACACAGGTACATACAGACACAGAGACACAGGTACATACAGACACAGAGACACAGGTACATATCTCCTGTTTGGTTGATATTAAACCTTAGCCCCGCCCTCGGGACCCCCCTGCTGTGAGTGTAGTACCTCTCCATCTCCGTGCACCACAGGATGTCCTCCTTGCTGTCCATGTAGACGGGGAAATGCTCGTCTTTCCCCTGCTTCACAGAGTTGGAGCGTGTCGTTATCGTTCGCAACTTCTCAAACTGCGAGTCGCACAAACCGCACACAAACACACAAACACACAAACCAATGCTTTAATGCTAAAGCTACACATCCTCAGATTGAAAAGTCTGACTATAAACAGTGTGAGGGGTTCTCCTCTGGCATCCTTTTAAAGCTGGGGTATCTAACTTTCAAACTGCAAAAATACAAAAAATACTATAATCCATGGCTCTCAAAACAGTTAAGTTCTATCAGTTCTTGATTCTGACTCGGCCCAGCTCTACTCGGCCCAGCTCTACTCACTGACAAACCAGGATCTGTGGAAAGTCCTTTGCACTCTGGCCACTTTAGAACCAGCTGGACTGAATCAGGACCAAGCAGGTACTAAAAAAATACCTGGTACCAGGGAAACAGGTACAGTGGAAACGCTCCAAATCAGGAGAGAGTAAAGCCGAGTAGAGTAGGGCCGAGTAGAGTAGAGCCGAGTAGAGTAGAGCCGAGTAGAGTCGGGCCGAGTAGAGTAGAGCCGAGTAGAGTCGGGCCGAGTAGAGTAGAGCCGAGTAGAGTCGGGCCAAGAGGGGCAACCCACAGACACCCCTGATATTTAACCTAACCCTTAACCCAAACCAAACTGAACCATACCTTTGCCGTGCGGCCGTGTTCAAGGCACTCCTGCAGATCCAGCCGGTCGTTCACCATCGGAGTGAGAGGTCTGAGAAATCACAGCAACATTCAGACCCATTCAGACCCATTCAGACCCATTCAGACCCATTGAGACACGTGACCGCAGTTTAGTTGGACTGTGCCGTACCTGGACATGCCGGGCAGGTTCCCCCAGAAATACCGAGCGCGATGTGCAGCGGAGACCTCTTTAGCATCGATCATGACAGGGTTGGACTGAAACATATAAGCATCATATCATAAAACCACTGACATGTTCAACACAAAAACTCATGGGAAAGGCCAGGATGTATTTACATGTTTTAGGGGTGTGGCCTAAGAGGCTAAAGTCCAATAGGGTTTCTGTCAAACTCCATCACGGTTGTTAATTCTATAATTTTCTATCCATGTTTTGTCATTTCTGGACAATAAGTCTCAATCATGTTATTTGAACTCCTATATTGCAGCCAATGTGTGTATTTTTATCTTATTCGAGCGCCCTCCGAGGTACAGAAAGGGCTATAGCTGTTGATGCCCAGAGCTAATGACGTAGCACACATTCCTACTTCCCAGTTTGTTTATGTGAACAGCAGAGGCCTGACACAAGCGCAGAGAACTCTACAATAATCAGAACATTTATGGATCTATTATTTTGACTTTTGGGCTTTCGCAGAGTGTGCTGAATGATGACTCACCTCTAAAAAGCGTGATATGTCCCGTTTGTCACTGACCCCCATGGCCACTACGTTTTCGAACAACCAAAAGAAAGGCCTCTCATCTCCAGGTTTGGGCCGAGCCTCGTGCAGAAGTCGGTAGAACTCAAAAAACAACCGCCCTGTCCCCTCTGAACAGACAGGCAAAGGTTAAAGTTGTACGAACGACTTTAAAACGGCTAAAAACATCTAAAGTTCAACGTGGATGAAAAGAACTGTGCAGTAATAAGATTGTGTAGTAAATGTGTGAATATCTATATATAACCTATATAATATATATATATATCTATATATAACCTATATAATATATAGGTTCTCACCAAAAAGGCCTTTTCGAGCAGGATTCACTATCGACAGGTCGTTACAGGGACTTCCCCCGATCACTAAGTCAAACGGCCCCCACTCTTCAATCTGAGGCAAGAGCAAATAATATCACTCCAACTGGACATGTATGTTCTACATCACATATGACACAGAACATACAGCGTTAGAGCTAACCCACATGTATGTTCTACATCACATATGACACAGAACATACAGCGTTAGAGCTAACCCACATGTATGTTCTACATCACGTATGACACAGAACATACAGCGTTAGAGCTAACCCACATGTATGTTCTACATCACATATGACACAGAACATACAGCGTTAGAGCTAACCTACATGTATGTTCTACATCACATATGACACAGAACATACAGCGTTAGAGCTAACCGACATGTATGTTCTACATCACATATGACACAGAACATACAGCGTTAGAGCTAACCTACATGTATGTTCTACATCACATATGACACAGAACATACAGCGTTAGAGCTAACCCACATGTATGTTCTACATCACGTATGACACAGAACATACAGCGTTAGAGCTAACCCACATGTATGTTCTACATCACATATGACACAGAACATACAGCGTTAGAGCTAACCTACATGTATGTTCTACATCACGGACTCCAGGCTCACTCACATGTTTGCGTGTGACGTTCCGGACGTCCCCCACGTACATGATGCGTCCCTGGTGTCGGACCATCCCCACAGTGATGGAGTCCTCACAGACCTCTGAGGCCACGTACTTATCCACCTGCAGACCCAGGTCCTTCAGCACCAGCAGACCTGAAACCAGCACCGACTGTAACTGGACTCAAGACTCATTAGAATCATCTGTTTGATTGGATTTATAGAATAGGAGCTGCTTTTTAGGCACTTTGATCCAACATCATATGGCACTATATCAAAGTGGTACAGTCCACCTGGACCACAGACCGGACTGGGAGTCCACCTGGACCACAGACCGGACTGGGAGTCCACCTGGACCACAGACCGGACTGGGAGTCCACCTAGACCACAGACCAGACTGGGAGTCCACCTGGACCACAGACCAGACTGGGAGTCCACCTGGACCACAGACCGGACTGGGAGTCCACCTGGACCACAGACCAGCTCAGGCCAATGCTGTCTATAAAGGTCAGAGCAGACTCTTGGTCCTGAGACTGAGACCAATGTAGACTGAGCAGATGTAGCACATGTTACAGTCTGTGGCGTGTTCTTTGGGGTCACATGTTCTTTGGGGTCACGTGTTCTTTGGGGTCACGTGTTCTTTGGGGTCACGTGTTCTTTGGGGTCACGTGTTCTTTGGGGTCACGTGTTCTTTGGGGTCACGTGTTCTTTGGGGTCACATGTTCTTTGGGGTCACATGTTCTTTGGGGTCACGTGTTCTTTGGTCTGACCAAACATCACTCTCACCTGTAGCGATGCCGTCAAACAGGGACAACACACGGATTGGTTTCCGTTTCTCTGCGGCGACAGGAGGATATAATTTTGCCGGTTCCTTAAATAAAACAACAAAGACAAAAGAATCATTAAACAAACATTTAGTGTGAGTTTATTTTGTTGTAATTTTCAGACTATAGTTATTGGAGCTGTATCTAGCTGTATGTGGCCACTGTCAGAGGGCCCTGTCCATCTCCAGAGAGGACCACATAACACATTCCTGCTGCGTGTGTGTTTATGTGAACAGCAGTGAGACACAAGGAAGTACAGGCCAATACACGTGTGTTTATGTGAACAGCAGTGAGACTCAAGGAAGTACAGGCCAATACACGTGTGTTTATGTGAACAGCAGTGAGACTCAAGGAAGTACAGGCCAATACACGTGTGTTTATGTGAACAGCAGTGAGACTCAAGGAAGTACAGGCCAATACACGTGTGTTTATGTGAACAGTAGTGAGACAAGGAAGTACAGGCCAATACACGTGTGTTTATGTGAACAGCAGTGAGACTCAAGGAAGTACAGGCCAATACACGTGTGTTTATGTGAACAGCAGTGAGACTCAAGGAAGTACAGGCCAATACACGTGTGTTTATGTGAACAGCAGTGAGACTCAAGGAAGTACAGGCCAATACACGTGTGTTTATGTGAACAGTAGTGAGACAAGGAAGTACAGGCCAATACACGTGTGTTTATGTGAACAGTAGTGAGACAAGGAAGTACAGGCCAATACACGTGTGTTTATGTGAACAGCAGTGAGACTCAAGGAAGTACAGGCCAATACACGTGTGTTTATGTGAACAGCAGTGACACAAGGAAGTACAGAGATAACACGTACAAAGTCCTGCTCGTGGTTGTTGGCAAAGAAGTGCTGGAGGCGACAGGGCCAGTCGTCCCGCCGCCGCAGCACGCCGTACACGCTGCGCGGCCCACACATGTAGCAGTTCCAGGGGTCCTCCTGGATGGCGAGGGCCGCGGAGCCTGTGCCCACCAGAAGATCCACACACTCCACACAGAAGCACCTGCAGAGACCAGACCAGACCAGAGACCAGAGACCAGACCAGACCAGAGACCAGACCAGACCAGACCAGAGACCAGAGACCAGACCAGAGACCAGAGACCAGAGACCAGACCAGAGACCAGAGACCAGACCAGAGACCAGAGACCAGAGACCAGACCAGAGACCAGAGACCAGAGACCAGGGACCAGAGACCAGACCAGAGACCAGACCAGAGACCAGACCAGAGACCAGAGACCAGAGACCAGGGACCAGAGACCAGACCAGAGACCAGACCAGAGACCAGTTACTACATACAAAAAACAGTATGAAATATATAGATATATAAACCCGCTCCTCGCAGCAGCAGCAGAACCATTGATTCTGACGTCATTTCAAAACGTTCTACAGTCATTATTTCTTGATAACAGTCTCTCAAAACAATAATGGCTGCTGCCCTTTGGCAACGCACCTCTGTAATTCAGATGTAGATTACTCTGACAGAAGTTTGGCTTTCAGCGCCTGTCACTTATTACTTCAGTGTGAGAGAAACTATCGGAGTTAGCCACGCTCAGTAACACAAATATCAAAAACACATTTAAATGTTAATTGGAGAATACATTATACACATACCTTCTTAACACACGTGCACCGAGGTTTTCAGAATGATTTTTTTATGTTTTCATGACAAAAATACGGTTTTTATGCGACAAAAGTGATAGCGGTAAACCCAGCAGTAAGAGGGTCACTCACCGCCATTTCTTTGTTCACTTTTCTTGCAGTTCCAGAGAGTTCTAGTTTAGATGTAGCTAGCATCAAAAACGTCCACTTTGCTCTGTCTGTACTTAGTCTCCATAATGCCCTGTACACATTATCCCTTACAACGTTTTCTGATCAACAATCAACAGTGTTTTTGTCTGATTTGTTCAAAGCATTTTACTTTGGCAAGTCTCCCTATGGGGACCAGCAGCATGTCAGATTAATGAAGAAAGAAGTGAGGTACCCCAGCTTTAAATGGGTCTAGTGCAGCTGCCTGGTTTAACTACTGCTGTAGAAACAGGATCAGGAAATACATTATGTATCATTTACTGCAGGGGTCTCCAACCTTTATCAGTCAGAGAGCTACTTTATACAGACGAAGAAGAAGAGAGCTACTTTATACAGACAAAGAAGAAGAGAGCTACTTTATACAGACAAAGAAGAAGAGAGCTACTTTATACAGACGAAGAAGAAGAGAGCTACTTTATACAGACGAAGAAGAAGAGAGCTACTTTATACAGACGAAGAAGAAGAGAGCTACTTTATACAGACGAAGAAGAAGAGAGCTACTTTATACAGACGAAGAAGAAGAGAGCTACTTTATACAGACGAAGAAGAAGAGAGCTACTTTATACAGACAAAGAAGAAGAGAGCTACTTTTATACAGACAGAAGAAGAAGAGAGCTACTTTATACAGACGAAGAAGAAGAAGAGAGCTCTACTTATACAGACGAAGAAGAAGAGAGCTACTTTATACAGACGAGAAGAAGAGAAGCTACTTACTTATACAGACGAAGAAGAAGAGAGCTACTTTATACAGACAAAGAAGAAGAGAGCTACTTTATACAGACGAAGAAGAAGAGAGCTACTTTATACAGACGAAGAAGAAGAGAGCTACTTTATACAGACAAAGAAGAAGAGAGCTACGCCTTTCTGCAGTTGTAATAAAATCTAAAATCTGTCTAGTAATTATGACAACACATGGAGAGGACATGTTCCTGAGGACATGTTCCAGAGGACATGTTCCAGAGGACATGTTCCTGAGGACATGTTCCAGAGGACATGTCCCAGAGGACATGTTCCAGAGGACATGTTCCAGAGGATATGTTCCTGAGGACATGTTCCTGAGGACATGTTCCAGAGGACATGTTCCTAAGGACATGTTCCAGAGGACATGTTCCAGAGGACATGTCCCAGAGGACATGTTCCTGAGGACATGTTCCAGAGGACATGTTCCTAAGGACATGTTCCAGAGGACATGTTCCTAAGGACATGTTCCTAAGGACATGTTCCAGAGGACATGTCCCAGAGGACATGTTCCAGAGGACATGTTCCAGAGGACATGTCCCAGAAGACATGTTCCAGAGGACATGTCCCAGAGGACATGTTCCTGAGGACATGTTCCAGAGGACATGTTCCTAAGGACATGTTCCAGAGGACATGTTCCTAAGGACATGTTCCTAAGGACATGTTCCAGAGGACATGTCCCAGAGGACATGTTCCAGAGGACATGTTCCAGAGGACATGTCCCAGAGGACATGTTCCAGAGGACATGTTCCAGAGGACATGTCCCAGAGGACATGTTCCAGAGGACATGTCCCAGAGGACATGTTCCAGAGGACATGTCCCAGAGGACATGTTCCTAAGGACATGTTCCAGAGGACATGTCCCAGAGGACATGTTCCAGAGGACATGTTCCAGAGGACATGTTCCAGAGGACATGTCCCAGAGGACATGTTCCTAAGGACATGTTCCACAGGACATGTTCCAGAGGACATGTTCCACAGGACATGTTCCAGAGGACATGTTCCAGAGGACATGTTCCAGAGGACATGTTCCAGAGGACATGTCCCAGAGGACATGTTCCAGAGGACATGTTCCAGAGGACATGTCCCAGAGGACATGTTCCAGAGGACATGTTCCAGAGGACATGTTCCAGAGGACATGTCCCAGAGGACATGTTCCAGAGGACATGTTCCAGAGGACATGTTCCAGAGGACATGTTCCAGAGGACATGTCCCAGAGGACATGTCCCAGAGGACATGTTCCAGAGGACATGTTCCAGAGGACATGTCCCAGAGGACATGTCCCAGAGGACATGTTCCAGAGGTCTGTGTGACTGACCGACAGCAGTTGTTGTTCCCGCACATGAGCACTTCTCTGCCTCCGCAGCAGATGGTGCAGTAGGACTGGTATCCGTCGTCGTCGTATTGATACGCACACTCCAGGAACGAGTTCTGGAGCCGGCACAAGACACACACAATAATCATTACAGACGTTTAGAATAGAAGTGATACTGTGATTGTGCGACACATGTGACTGTGCGACACATGTGACTGTGCGACACGTGTGACTGTGCGACACGTGTGACTGTGCGACACGTGTGACTGTGCGACACGTGTGATTGTGCGACACGTGTGACTGTGCGACACGTGTGACTGTGTGACACGTGTGACTGTGCGACACGTGTGATTGTGCGACACGTGTGACTGTGCAACACTGTGCAACACGTGTGACTGTGCGACACGTGTGACTGTGCGACACGTGTGACTGTGCGACACGTGTGATTGTGAGACACATGTGACTGTGCGACACGTGTGACTGTGAGACACATGTGACTGTGCGACACGTGTGACTGTGCGACACGTGTGACTGTGCGACACGTGTGACTGTGCGACACGTGTGACTGTGCGACACATGTGACTGTGCGACACGTGTGACTGTGCGACACGTGTGACTGTGCGACACGTGTGACTGTGCGACACGTGTGACTGTGCGACACGTGTGACTGTGCGACACGTGTGATTGTGCGACACGTGTGACTGTGCAACACGTGTGACTGTGCGACACGTGTGATTGTGCGACACGTGTGACTGTGCGACACGTGTGAAGAGGGGGTTTACTTTGCAGCCCTGGCACATGGCGCCCATAAAGAGAGGGTGCTCCAAGGACACGTTGAGGCTTCCACAAGAGATGCAAATATCTGAAGGACACAATTAGTGGCATTAAAATCAAATATAAAAAAAAAACAGAAGATTTGTATTTGTTTTTAATTAAAGCTGGAGTCTCTGACTTTTTAAATTCATAAATATATGTTGTTTGTCCCAAAAGACAAACAACATATATTTTATTGATCTCACACTAAAGAGATTTACGTTTGAGTGACATTTGGTGAAGAAATGAGACAGACTGAGGCAGACTGAGGCAGACTGAGGCAGACTGAGGCAGGCTGAGGCAGACTGAAGCAGACTGAGGCAGACTGAGGCAGACTGAGGCAGACTGAGGCAGACTGAGGCAGGCTGAGGCAGGCTGAGGCAGGCTGAGGCAGACTGAGACAGACTGGGGCAGACTGAGGCAGGCTGAGACAGGCTGAGGCAGACTGATGCAGGCTGAGGCAGGCTGAGGCAGACTGAGACAGGCTGAGGCAGACTGAGACAGGCTGAGACAGACTGAGACAGACTGGGGCAGACTGAGGCAGGCTGAGACAGGCTGAGGCAGACTGATGCAGGCTGAGGCAGGCTGAGACAGGCTGAGGCAGACTGATGCAGGCTGAGGCAGGCTGAGGCAGACTGAGACAGACTGAGGCAGACTGAGACAGGCTGAGGCAGACTGAAGCAGACTGAGGCAGGCTGAGACAGACTGAGGCAGGCTGAGAAAGACTGAGGCAGACTGAGACAGGCTGAGGCAGACTGAGACAGGCTGAGACAGACTGAGACAGACTGAGGCAGACTGAGACAGACTGAGACAGACTGAGACAGGCTGAGACAGACTGAGACAGACTGAGACAGACTGAGACAGGCTGAGGCAGACTGAGACAGACTGAGACAGACTGAGACAGGCTGAGGCAGACTGAGACAGACTGAGACAGACTGAGACAGACTGAGACAGACTGAGGCAGACTGAGGCAGACTGAGACAGGCTGAGGCAGACTGAGACAGGCTGAGACAGGCTGAGGCAGACTGAGGCAGACTGAGGCAGACTGAGGCAGGCTGAGGCAGGCTGAGGCAGGCTGAGGCAGACTGAGACAGACTGGGGCAGACTGAGGCAGGCTGAGACAGGCTGAGGCAGACTGATGCAGGCTGAGGCAGGCTGAGGCAGACTGAGACAGACTGAGGCAGACTGAGACAGGCTGAGGCAGACTGAGGCAGACTGAGGCAGACTGAGGCAGACTGAGGCAGGCTGAGGCAGGCTGAGGCAGACTGAGACAGACTGGGGCAGACTGAGGCAGGCTGAGACAGGCTGAGGCAGACTGATGCAGGCTGAGGCAGGCTGAGGCAGACTGAGACAGACTGAGGCAGACTGAGACAGGCTGAGGCAGACTGAGACAGACTGGGGCAGACTGAGGCAGGCTGAGACAGGCTGAGGCAGACTGATGCAGGCTGAAGCAGGCTGAGACAGGCTGAGGCAGACTGAGACAGACTGATGCAGGCTGAGGCAGGCTGAGGCAGACTGAGACAGACTGAGGCAGACTGAGACAGGCTGAGGCAGACTGAGACAGGCTGAGACAGACTGAGACAGACTGAGACAGACTGAGACAGGCTGAGGCAGACTGAGACAGACTGAGACAGACTGAGACAGACTGAGACAGACTGAGGCAGGCTGAGAAAGACTGAGGCAGACTGAGACAGGCTGAGGCAGACTGAGACAGGCTGAGGCAGACTGAGACAGACTGAGACAGACTGAGACAGACTGAGACAGACTGAGGCAGACTGAGGCAGACTGAGACAGGCTGAGGCAGACTGAGACAGGCTGAGACAGGCTGAGACAGACTGAGGCAGACTGAGACAGACTGAGACAGACTGAGACAGACTGAGGCAGGCTGAGACAGACTGAGGCAGGCTGAGACAGACTGAGACAGACTGAGGCAGACTGAGGCAGACTGAGACAGGCTGAGGCAGACTGAGACAGGCTGAGACAGGCTGAGACAGACTGAGGCAGACTGAGACAGACTGAGACAGACTGAGACAGACTGAGACAGGCTGAGACAGACTGAGACAGACTGAGGCAGACTGAGACAGGCTGAGACAGACTGAGACAGGCTGAGACAGACTGAGGCAGACAGGCAGGCTGAGACAGACTGAGACAGACTGAGACAGACTGAGGCAGGCTGAGACAGGCTGAGACAGACTGAGACAGGCTGAGACAGACTGAGACAGGCTGAGACAGACTGAGACAGACTGAGGCAGGCTGAGACAGACTGAGGCAGGTTGAGACAGACTGAGACAGACTGAGACAGACTGAGACAGGCTGAGACAGGCTGAGACAGACTGAGACAGACTGAGGCAGACTGAGACAGACTGAGACAGACTGAGACAGACTGAGACAGGCTGAGACAGGCTGAGACAGACTGAGACAGACTGAGGCAGACTGAGACAGACTGAGACAGACTGAGGCAGACTGAGACAGACTGAGACAGGCTGAGACAGACTGAGACAGACTGAGACAGACTGAGACAGGCTGAGGCAGACTGAGACAGACTGAGACAGACTGAGACAGGCTGAGGCAGACTGAGACAGACTGAGACAGACTGAGACAGACTGAGACAGACTGAGGCAGGCTGAGAAAGACTGAGGCAGACTGAGACAGGCTGAGGCAGACTGAGACAGGCTGAGGCAGACTGAGACAGACTGAGACAGACTGAGACAGACTGAGACAGACTGAGGCAGACTGAGGCAGACTGAGACAGACTGAGACAGGCTGAGACAGGCTGAGACAGACTGAGGCAGACTGAGACAGACTGAGACAGACTGAGGCAGGCTGAGACAGACTGAGACAGACTGAGGCAGACTGAGGCAGACTGAGACAGGCTGAGGCAGACTGAGACAGGCTGAGACAGGCTGAGACAGACTGAGGCAGACTGAGACAGACTGAGACAGACTGAGACAGACTGAGACAGGCTGAGGCAGACTGAGACAGACTGAGGCAGACAGGCAGGCTGAGACAGGCTGAGACAGACTGAGACAGACTGAGGCAGACTGAGACAGGCTGAGACAGACTGAGACAGGCTGAGACAGACTGAGGCAGACAGGCAGGCTGAGACAGGCTGAGGCAGGCTTAGACAGACTGAGACAGACTGAGGCAGGCTGAGACAGACTGAGACAGGCTGAGACAGACTGAGACAGACTGAGGCAGGCTGAGACAGGCTGAGACAGACTGAGACAGGCTGAGACAGACTGAGACAGACTGAGGCAGGCTGAGACAGACTGAGGCAGGTTGAGACAGACTGAGACAGACTGAGACAGACTGAGACAGGCTGAGACAGACTGAGGCAGGCTGAGACAGACTGAGGCAGGCTGAGACAGACTGAGACAGACTGAGACAGACTGAGACAGGCTGAGACAGACTGAGGCAGGCTGAGACAGACTGAGGCAGGCTGAGACAGACTGAGACAGACTGAGGCAGACTGAGACAGACTGAGACAGACTGAGGCAGACTGAGACAGACTGAGGCAGACAGGCAGGCTGAGGCAGACTGAGACAGACTGAGACAGACTGAGGCAGACTGAGGCAGACTGAGACAGGCTGAGACAGACTGAGACAGACTGAGGCAGACTGAGGCAGACTGAGACAGACTGAGACAGACTGAGACAGACTGAGGCAGGCTGAGACAGGCTGAGACAGGCTGAGACAGGCTGAGACAGACTGAGGCAGGCTGAGACAGACTGAGGCAGACTGAGACAGGCTGAGACAGGCTGAGACAGGCTGAGACAGACTGAGACAGACTGAGGCAGGCTGAGACAGACTGAGGCAGGCTGAGGCAGACTGAGGCAGACTGAGACAGACTGAGACAGACTGAGACAGGCTGAGACAGACTGAGGCAGACTGAGGCAGACTGAGACAGGCTGAGACAGACTGAGACAGGCTGAGACAGACTGAGGCAGACTGAGACAGACTGAGACAGACTGAGACAGACTGAGACAGACTGAGACAGACTGAGGCAGGCTGAGGCAGACTGAGACAGACTGAGACAGACTGAGGCAGGCTGAGGCAGACAGGCAGGCTGAGACAGGCTGAGACAGACTGAGACAGACTGAGACAGACTGAGGCAGACTGAGGCAGACTGAGGCAGACTGAGGCAGGCTGTGGTCCGCTCTGTGTCACTTTAAGACAGCGAATGTAGATGGAACTGTTGCCATAGTTACTGGTTCCTCATTACTCACTGGGTCTAAGGATAATAATGATCAAACTATTTGATTCTCTGATCTGCTTTTGAGGAATCAAGGACTGTACAAAAATACATTGAATTGAATGTTTGTGTTTAAGTTAGACACCCCAGCTTTAATGGTCTCTTTACCTTCTATGTTTCTGCTCTTGTTTTTTATTTCAGATATTAACCTCTCTAAGATAAAAGCAGAAGTCATCATCAGTGACTCAAAGTGATCCTCATGAATATTCAAAAGCACATAAACGTCTGTACCTCTTGTGCCCTCGTCGACGACCTCTCGGATCTTCCCTTTCTCAGCGGCGTTCTTACGTGGCTTTTTAGCAGGAGGCGGAGTGTAGGCGGCCTCAGGCTCCGCCCACATTTCATGGTACACTTCCTTATATGGGTTCTGTTCCTCTGCGGCGATAGAGACGGAAGACTTAATATAATATTTATGATTCTTTATTTCAAAATACACAGGCCCAAAGACTCTCTGACCCTACACCTCTTTCCCCTTTGTGCTGAGCACATCAGAGAGACCAGAGAGGGACCAGAGAGAGACCAGTGTGAGACCAGAGAGAGACCAGAGAGAGAGACCAGAGCGAGACCAGGGAGAGACCAGAGAGAGACCAGTGTGAGACCAGAGAGAGACCAGAGAGAGACCAGAGAGAGACCAGAGAGAGACCAGAGAGAGACCAGAGAGAGACCAGCGAGAGACCAGAGAGAGACCAGAGAGAGACCAGAGAGAGACCAGAGAGAGACCAGAGAGAGACCAGAGAGAGACCAGAGAGGGACCAGAGAGAGACCAGAGAGAGACCAGAGAGAGACCGGAGAGAGACCAGAGAGAGACCAGAGAGAGACCAGAGAGGGACTAGAGAGAGACCAGAGAGAGACCAGAGAGAGACCAGAGAGAGACCAGAGAGAGACCAGTGTGAGACCAGAGAGAGACCAGAGAGAGAGACCAGAGAGAGACCAGAGAGAGACCAGAGAGAGACCAGAGAGAGACCAGAGAGAGACCAGAGAGAGACCAGAGAGAGACCAGCGAGAGACCAGAGAGAGACCAGAGAGAGACCAGAGAGCAGAGAGAGACCAGAGAGAGACCAGAGAGAGACCAGAGAGAGACCAGAGAGGGACCAGAGAGAGACCAGAGAGAGACCAGAGAGAGACCGGAGAGAGACCAGAGAGAGACCAGAGAGAGACCAGAGAGGGACTAGAGAGAGACCAGAGAGAGACCAGAGAGAGACCAGAGAGGGACCAGAGAGAGACCAGTGTGAGACCAGAGAGAGACCAGAGAGAGAGACCAGAGAGAGACCAGAGAGAGACCAGAGAGAGACCAGAGAGAGACCAGAGAGAGACCAGAGAGAGAGACCAGAGAGAGACCAGAGAGAGACCAGAGAGAGACCAGAGAGAGACCAGAGAGAGACCAGCGAGAGACCAGCGAGAGACCAGAGAGGGACCAGAGAGAGACCAGAGAGAGACCAGAGAGAGACCAGAGAGGGACCGGAGAGAGACCAGAGAGAGACCAGAGAGAGACCAGAGAGAGACCAGAGAGAGACCAGAGAGAGACCAGCGAGAGACCAGAGAGGGACCAGAGAGAGACCAGAGAGAGACCAGAGAGAGACCAGAGAGGGACCGGAGAGAGACCAGAGAGAGACCAGAGAGAGACCAGAGAGAGAGACCAGAGAGAGGGACCAGAGAGAGACCAGAGAGAGACCAGAGAGAGACCAGAGAGAGTAGAGGACTGAGGGCCCTGGGAAGACAGCAGTAGTCCTCTGAACTAATTGTTCTGACTTATAATAATGGTAACCGTCCTGTTATACTAGCGTTATATGGTGTTGTACATGGTGTACATTGTGTTGGTCGATGCATTTTAATTTTCATTATTATCATTATTATTATTATTATTATTATTATTTATTATTCTACCCTCAGGAGGATCCAGTGATTGTGGTCCGCCCGGTGAGAACCCGGTCATGGCCCATTCGATCATGTGTCTGCTCTGCTGCTCCAGGACCTCGCCCTCATCACTGCTGTCGCTCTGAGGGAGGGGTCTACCAGCCCGAGTGCTGGCCACCTACACACACACACACAGAGACACACACACACACACACAGAGACACACACACACACACACACACACACACACAGAGAGACACACACACACACACAGTTTGGAACTTGTGGTTGCGTGGATGGAAAACGCTCGATGAAAGAAAACATCATTATGTGTGGGCAGCTTTACTGTGTGTAAACAACAGGCTCCTGAGATCCACCCGGACTGACCCGGACTGACCCGGACTGACCCGGACTGACCCGGACAGACCCGGACAGACCTGGACTGACCCGGACTGACCCGGACTGACCCGGACAGACCCGGACAGACCTGGACTGACCCGGACTGACCCGGACTGACCCGGACTGACCCGGACTGACCCGGACAGACCCGGACAGACCCGGACTGACCCGGACAGACCCGGACTGACCCGGACTGACCCGGACAGACCCGGACTGACCCGGACAGACCCGGACAGACCTGGACTGACCCGGACTGACCCGGACTGACCCGGACTGACCCGGACAGACCTGGACTGACCCGGACTGACCCGGACTGACCCGGACTGACCCGGACAGACCCGGACAGACCCGGACTGACCCGGACAGACCCGGACTGACCCGGACTGACCCGGACAGACCCGGACTGACCCGGACAGACCCGGACAGACCTGGACTGACCCGGACTGACCCGGACTGACCCGGACAGACCCGGACTGACCCGGACTGACCCGGACAGACCCGGACTGACCCGGACTGACCCGGACAGACCCGGACTGACCTGGACTGACCCGGACTGACCCGGGCCAGGTTAAAGCTGGACTATCTCACTTTCACACCACAACAAATGGAACTATGTCATTAAAGTTTCTCAGCTGTGTCATGTTAGAGTCAAGTGAGGAGCACAGGGACTGGCCTCCTGCTGGGACTCTGAGGAGCACAGGGACTGGCCTCCTGCTGGGACTCTGAGGAGCACAGGGACTGGCCTCCTGCTGGGACTCTGAGGAGCACAGGGACTGGCTTCCTGCTGGGACTCTGAGGAGCACAGGGACTGGACTCCTGCTGGGACTGAGGAGCACAGGGACTGGCCTCCTGCTGGGACTCTGAGGAGCACAGGGACTGGCCTCCTGCTGGGACTGAGGAGCACAGGGACTGGCCTCCTGCTGGGACTCTGAGGAGCACAGGGACTGGCCTCCTGCTGGGACTCTGAGGAGCACAGGGACTGGCCTCCTGCTGGTCCCAGAGTCAGGACTAAACATGGGGAGGCAGAGTTTCAGATTCATGCTGAAATCTGCAACAACTGAAGGATTTTCTCTGTTATTATTCTATAATTAGATTTTAGGAGTTTCTGACTGGCGTCTGTCACTCAACCTTTTCAGTCAGAAAAGAGAAAAAAAAGACCATCAGCTCAAATAGTGATTCAGCAATCTCCGTCTTACAAGAAAACACAATACAGCTCTAAGTACCCAAAAGATACAACTGTTTAATAATGAAATAGAAACAGACAGAGGTCGGTTCATAAATAATAAATAATGCAGTTCCTACAAACAGACAGAGGAGGCGTTACCTGCAGCGCTTCAAAGATGGCTTTGCGGTACATGGACTGTTTGTTGTAGGTGGGTTGGTGGAAGGCCGCAGAGAAGGAGCTGAACAACATCAGTTTCTCCACACAGACCTACGGAACAACAACATCAGTTTCTCCAGACAGGTTTATGTGAACAGCAGAGAGACAGGTTTATGTGAACAGCAGAGAGACTGGTTTATGTGAACAGCAGAGAGACAGGTTTATGTGAACAGCAGAGAGACAGGTTTATGTGAACAGCAGAGAGACAGGTTTATGTGAACAGCAGAGAGACAGGTTTATGTGAACAGCAGAGAGACAGGTTTATGTGAACAGCAGAGAGACAGGTTTATGTGAACAGCAGAGAGACAGGTTTATGTGAACAGCAGAGAGACAGGTTTATGTGAACAGCAGAGAGACAGGTTTATGTGAACAGCAGAGAGACTGGTTTATGTGAACAGCAGAGAGACAGGTTTATGTGAACAGCAGAGAGACAGGTTTATGTGAACAGCAGAGAGACAGGTTTATGTGAACAGCAGAGAGACAGGTTTATGTGAACAGCAGAGAGACAGGTTTATGTGAACAGCAGAGAGACAGGTTTATGTGAACAGCAGAGAGACAGGTTTATGTGAACAGCAGAGAGACAGGTTTATGTGAACAGCAGAGAGACAGGTTTATGTGAACAGCAGAGAGACTGGTTTATGTGAACAGCAGAGAGACAGGTTTATGTGAACAGCAGAGAGACTGGTTTATGTGAACAGCAGAGAGACAGGTTTATGTGAACAGCAGAGAGACAGGTTTATGTGAACAGCAGAGAGACAGGGTTTATGGACTTATTCTTTTGAAACAAACACCTCCATTAAGTTTGAGCAGGAATGTTATTGTTAAAACAGATTTCCCAGAATGCTTTGCTCATCACGAGTCAACAGTGCATTAAATGCAGATATTTATTTTCATTATAATTGACACTCATTACCATAAATAATGTTTTTAAAGACACACATTAAACACTGGGATGTTTTAAGATGTCATGTCCATTTCTACTCCAACAGTAATAACAGTTTCTCTGAGGGAGGAATATGGGAGAAGGTTCTTTTCAGACTCACCACTGAGAATTTGCCGTCACCAAACCACATGACCCAGCGCGTGCCGTCCGCCGCCCGACTCCTGCCGCTCACCAACCAGGACACGATCCGCCCGGGCCACCAGGAGAACCCCCGCAGCTTCCCAAACACAAGGGTGCCGATGCCGAAGCCGCGGCCGTCCTGGAGGCAGCCGTAAGGTTTGACATGTGCCAAAACAGGAGGAGAAAACTGTGGCTATCTTTGCACCACAACCACCTCAGATTCAGATTAATTTATTTACCGTTTGCAGTAAAACCCCATTGGTTTTACTGGGGGCACCAGTGTGCACAAGACAAGTATATCAATAATCCGGCATATTTACATTTGTTTCATACCGATGGTCCTTAATGTGCATTGTCCCGATCAAACAAATAAAGAAATATTCACCTGATACTCCATCTCTCTGGGCGTGGCCTGGTCTCCCCGAGCGGCTGGCTCTGGTGTCATGGCGACGGTGGGGGAGGCGGGGTCAGTGTGTTGCTGCGATGGCGGTGGCGCTGGACTGGGCGGCTCCACCTCCTTCTGAAAGTCCTGCTCTGATAGGTCGTCCATCAGGCTGGTCTCGGCCTCTCTGTACGCTCGCCGCTCAGCCTGAGAACCACACATCATGAACACTAAAAACACTTCCGTCAGATCCGGTTAAAAAAGGTCATATCTGTGGAATAATGTAAGGATCCAGGTTGTCCAGTAATAATACCTTTTATATTTACTAGAGTTTTTCCTGTTTGACACAGCACAGTCTAAGGACAGCGTGGATCCAGGACTCTCCATATTCAACATTTATTACTTATTTATTAACACTTAAAGACCAACGGGCATTTTATTATATATCTAATAACGGCTTATTAACCGAGCGCGAGGTCTGTACGGAGAAATATCAGACCACGGCCTTAATGTACAAAAAGACCAAGGTCTGATATTTCTCTGCACAGACCGAGCAAGCGAGGTTAATAAATGTTTTATTATATGACTCTCGTCTGTGTCCAATGCTTTGGAGATATTTGTGAAGTATGTTCGTGTCCGACTTGGTTTTGTGTGATACGGGCTGCGGACCGATCGTCATGGTAACGGTCCGAGATGGGGAAATATCAGACCGCAAATCAGCCAATCAGAGCGCGCGTACGGTCCAAGTCATATAATAATATATAATATCTAATATATGTAATAACTACAACTACAGCGAATCCTGTGGATCGATCCTACGCTTGAAAAGTACTTCAGAGACAGACAATGTATGAGGATAAGTCATTGGTTTGTCTTTATGCCCCCAGTGAAAAATGACAATAGAATAAGTATTGGCACAAAGTAAATAAAATATAATAAAAAATGTTAATAAAATCTATATAAAGAAAAATAATATTAATGTTGACTTATTTTAACCACATTTTAAAGATTTTCAATAAAAAACAGCAGTGTCCAAAAGATTAAGAAGAGGTAAGAGAGCAGTAAATGAGCAAAAAATATGGCTTTTTGTTTCAGATTCAGAAGATTCACTTTTCAAAATAAATAAATAAATATAATATTCACAGGGTTCTCTTCCTCCCACTCCTTTTCCTTGCAATAATATTCCAGAAAACTCTAAGAAGTGAGAGTTGATAATGAATGTTTGATAATTAAATACTAATTATTTTGATCTTCTGTGAATAAACTCACTAATGCGAGAGCCCAGTTTGGTGAATGTGGTGAAGCCTGGTCCGGTTTGCAGATGTTCTGACGTTCACACGAAGAGAAGAGGGCAGAGGTGGGACAGTAAACCAGAGGGTCATGGCCGCTCCGTCCCACTCCTGTTGACCCCAGAGGCAGTAAAGTCTGTAATGGGGCAGTTACACGGGCCACTGACCACAGAGCCATCTGCCACAGACACCTCTGAGACCACTCAGGACAAAGGCACAAACAGAGCCTAAACTAAACCAGAAAAATGCATCGATTTTTATTTTTGTTTTTGTCATTTTTGTTCTGTCTTTTGTGTTAGTTTTGTATTTAATATTAATAATAATAATAATAATAATATTAATGCATTGGTTTTATACAGTTCAAAGTCTCTTCACATCATTTTTCTTTCACTCCAAACACAAACTTCTACTGTAGCCACAGCTGCCCTGGGGCACACTGACAGAAGCGAGGCAACCAGTCTGTGCCATCGGCCCCTCCCACCACCACCAACCATTCACACACACACCAGACTCATTCCACTGTGGGGGAAGTGTCTTGCCTAAGGACACAACCTTAGTCTAGCATGTGGCAGCATGTGGCAGCAGGTGGCAGCAGGTGGCAGCATGTGGCAGCAAGTGGCAGCACGTGGCAGCATGTGGCAGCACGTGGCAGCAGGTGGCAGCACGTGGCAGCAGGTGGCAGCATGTGGCAGCACGTGGCAGCACGTGGCAGCATGTGGCAGCACGTGGCAGCAGGTGGCAGCACGTGGCAGCAGGTGGCAGCATGTGGCAGCATGTGGCAGCATGTGGCAGCACGTGGCAGCACGTGGCAGCACGTGGCAGCAGGTGGCAGCATGTGGCAGCACGTGGCAGCACGTGGCAGCAGGTGGCAGCACGTGGCAGCAGGTGGCAGCAGGTGGCAGCATGTGGCAGCATGTGGCAGCAGGTGGCAGCATGTGGCAGCATGTGGCAGCACGTGGCAGCACGTGGCAGCAGGTGGCAGCAGGTGGCAGCACGTGGCAGCAGGTGGCAGCAGGTGGCAGCAGGTGGCAGCACGTGGCAGCAGGTGGCAGCATGTGGCAGCAGGTGGCAGCAGGTGGCAGCACGTGGCAGCAGGTGGCAGCATGTGGCAGCAGGTGGCAGCACGTGGCAGCAGGTGGCAGCAGGTGGCAGCAGGTGGCAGCACGTGGCAGCACGTGGCAGCACGTGGCAGCACGTGGCAGCACACGTGGCAGCAGGTGGCAGCATGTGGCAGCATGTGGCAGCACGTGGCAGCAGGTGGCAGCACGTGGCAGCAGGTGGCAGCATGTGGCAGCACGTGGCAGCACGTGGCAGCAGGTGGCAGCAGGTGGCAGCATGTGGCAGCATGTGGCAGCATGTGGCAGCACGTGGCAGCACGTGGCAGCACGTGGCAGCACGTGGCAGCACGTGGCAGCAGGTGGCAGCACGTGGCAGCAGGTGGCAGCAGGTGGCAGCAGGTGGCAGCATGTGGCAGCATGTGGCAGCAGGTGGCAGCAGGTGGCAGCAGGTGGCAGCGGTTGGCAGCACGTGGCAGCAGGTGGCAGCACGTGGCAGCACGTGGCAGCAGGTGGCAGCATGTGGCAGCAGGTGGCAGCAGGTGGCAGCACGTGGCAGCAGGTGGCAGCATGTGGCAGCAGGTGGCAGCAGGTGGCAGCACGTGGCAGCACGTGGCAGCACGTGGCAGCACGTGGCAGCACGTGGCAGCATGTGGCAGCAGGTGGCAGCAGGTGGCAGCAGGTGGCAGCATGTGGCAGCATGTGGCAGCACGTGGCAGCACGTGGCAGCAGGTGGCAGCACCTGGCAGCACGTGGCAGCAGGTGGCAGCATGTGGCAGCAGGTGGCAGCAGGTGGCAGCACGTGGCAGCACGTGGCAGCAGGTGGCAGCAGGTTGCAGCACGTGGCAGCACGTGGCAGCAGGTGGCAGCATGTGGCAGCATGTGGCAGCATGTGGCAGCATGTGGCAGCATGTGGCAGCATGTGGCAGCACGTGGCAGCAGGTGGCAGCACGTGGCAGCACGTGGCAGCATGTGGCAGCAGGTGGCAGCAAGTGGCAGCATGTGGCAGCAAGTGGCAGCACGTGGCAGCAGGTGGCAGCATGTGGCAGCACGTGGCAGCATGTGGCAGCACGTGGCAGCAGGTGGCAGCACGTGGCAGCAGGTGGCAGCATGTGGCAGCATGTGGCAGCAGGTGGCAGCAGGTGGCAGCAGGTGGCAGCACGTGGCAGCATGTGGCAGCAGGTGGCAGCAAGTGGCAGCATGTGGCAGCAAGTGGCAGCACGTGGCAGCAGGTGGCAGCATGTGGCAGCACGTGGCAGCATGTGGCAGCACGTGGCAGCAGGTGGCAGCACGTGGCAGCAGGTGGCAGCATGTGGCAGCATGTGGCAGCAGGTGGCAGCAGGTGGCAGCAGGTGGCAGCACGTGGCAGCAGGTGGCAGCATGTGGCAGCACGTGGCAGCACGTGGCAGCATGTGGCAGCACGTGGCAGCAGGTGGCAGCACGTGGCAGCAGGTGGCAGCATGTGGCAGCACGTGGCAGCAGGTGGCAGCATGTGGCAGCACGTGGCAGCACGTGGCAGCAGGTGGCAGCACGTGGCAGCAGGTGGCAGCAGGTGGCAGCATGTGGCAGCACGTGGCAGCATGTGGCATCATGTGGCAGCAGGTGGCAGCAGGTGGCAGCATGTGGCAGCATGTGGCAGCACGTGGCAGCACGTGGCAGCAGGTGGCAGCACGTGGCAGCAGGTGGCAGCAGGTGGCAGCATGTGGCAGCAGGTGGCAGCACGTGGCAGCAGGTGGCAGCATGTGGCAGCAGGTGGCAGCAGGTGGCAGCACGTGGCAGCAGGTGGCAGCAGGTGGCAGCATGTGGCAGCAGGTGGCAGCACGTGGCAGCAGGTGGCAGCAGGTGGCAGCAGGTGGCAGCACGTGGCAGCACGTGGCAGCACGTGGCAGCACGTGGCAGCAGGTGGCAGCATGTGGCAGCACGTGGCAGCACGTGGCAGCACGTGGCAGCAGGTGGCAGCACGTGGCAGCAGGTGGCAGCATGTGGCAGCACGTGGCAGCAGGTGGCAGCAGGTGGCAGCAGGTGGCAGCATGTGGCAGCATGTGGCAGCATGTGGCAGCATGTGGCAGCACGTGGCAGCAGGTGGCAGCAGGTGGCAGCATGTGGCAGCAGGTGGCAGCAGGTGGCAGCATGTGGCAGCAGGTGGCAGCAGGTGGCAGCATGTGGCAGCATGTGGCAGCAGGTGGCAGCATCAGAATCAGAATCAGAATCATTTTTATTGCCAACGTAAGTAACGGGAGGTCACAGACTTGGAAATTGCTTTGGCTCAGTGCAACAGTCAAAAAGAGATAATAAAAATAAGAATAAAAAACACTTCTAAAGAATAAATTTAAATTTAAAATAGAGTTACAGTTACTATTTACAATATACAAGTGCACATGGTGCACACAATGTAAGGTGACAGCAGTACAGTGAAGTAAAGTGACGTATGATGGGCAGTAAAGTGACTTTATAAAGGGCGGGGGGACAGGTTAAGAAGTGTTCAAGAGTCCAACAGCAGAGGGGAAGAAACTGTTCTTGTGGCGGGAGGTTCTAGTCCTGATGGACCGCAGCCTCCTGCCTGAGGGGAGTGGTTGGAATAGTCCATGTGCAGGTGAGAGGGGAGTGGTTGGAATAGTCCATGTGCAGGTGAGAGGGGTCGGCTGTGATACGACCAGCCCGGCCTCGAGCTCGGGCGACGTACAGGTCCTGCAGCGATGGAAGGCTGCGGCCGATCACTTCCTCTGCAGAGCGCACAATGCGCTGTAGTCTCTGTTTGTCCCTGACTGTGGCTCCAGCGAACCACACGGTGATGGAGGAGGTGAGGATGGACTCGATCATGGCCGTGTAGAACTGCACCAACATCTGTGCAGGCAGCTTGGCTTTCCTGAGCTGCCGCAGGAAGTACATCCTCTGCTGGGCCTTCTTGATGAGGGAGCTGATGGTCGGCTCCCACTTGAGGTCCTGGGTGATGGTGGTGCCCAGGAAAGGAACTCCACAGAGGTGATGGGGGAGTCCATCACGGTGGGTGGGGGCGGGGGGACAGTGCTCTTCCTGAAGTCCACAATCATCTCCACTGTCTTCTGGGCGTTCAGCTCCAGGTTGTTACCACTGCACCAGGACACCAGCCGGTCCACCTCCCTCCTGTAGGCGGACTCATCGTTGTTGGAGATGAGTCCAATGAGGGTGGTGTCGTCCGCGAACTTGATCAGCTTCACGGAGTCGTGGCTGGAGGTGCAGTGGTTGGTGTACAGGGAGAAGAGCAGGGGAGAAAGAACACAGCCCTGTGGGGCTCCTGTATTTATAATCCGAGAGTCCGAGACATTCTTCCCCAGACGCACTCGCTGCTTCCTGTCCGTCAGGAAGTCAGTGATCCACCTGCAGGTGGAATCGGGCACGTTGAGCTGGGAGAGCTTGTCCTGGAGCAGGGATGGCAGGATTGTGTTGAAGGCAGAGCTGAAGTCCACGAACAGGACCCTGGCGTAGGTCCCCGGGGAGTCCAGGTGCTGTAGGATGTGGTGGAGGGCCAGGTTAATGGCGTCGTCTACAGATCTGTTGGCTCTGTAGGCGAACTGCAGGGGGTCCAGGAGGGGGGAGGTGAGGGACTTGAGATGGGAGAGAACCAGGCGTTCAAATGACTTCATGACGACAGACGTAAGTGCTACAGGTCTGTAGTCATTGAGTCCTGTGATCCTGGGCTTCTTCGGGACGGGGACAATGATGGAGGATTTGAAGCAGGACATGGCAGGACTGCAGAGAGGAGTTGAAAATGTCCGTGAACACAGGAGTAAGCTCACTGGGGCAGTGTCTCAGAGTGGCCGGAGACACGTGGTCCGGGCCAGGAGCTTTGCGGGGGTGCAGCCTCAGGAAGAGTTGTTTAATCTCTTTAGCGGCTATTGTTAGGCTGGGGGCAGGGCTGATGGGTGGGTCGTTAGAGTAGTGGGGGGGGGGGAGGGAGAGGTGTCAGGGGCAGCATCAAAGCGACTGAAAAATAAGTTCAGATTGTCAGCTAGCTTGTGGTCGTCAGCACAGGGGGGGGCTTTGGGTTTGTAGTTGGTGATCTCCCGTAGGCCCCTCCAGACAGAAGCAGTATCGTTGTTACCAAACTGCTCCTGTAGTCGTTCTCTGTGCCGGGACTTGGCTGCTTTCAGTTCTTTCCTGAACTGATATTTAGCTGCTTTGTAGCCGCTGCGGTCCCCCTCCCTGAAAGCAGACTCCTTTGCTTTCCTGAGCTGCCGGAGTTTAGCAGTGAACCAGGGTTTGTCGTTGTTATAGATGACCCTGGTCCTTGTTGGAATGATGCTATCCTCACAGAAGTGGATGTATGACGTCACAGTGTCCGTGTATTCATCCAAGCTGTCTGTGGCAGCTCTGAAAAGGTCCCAGTCTGTAGATTCCATGCATGCAGCTCTTCCACAGCTTCATCAGACCACACTTTGGAGCTCCTCACTGCAGGTTTCGAGAGCTTTAGTCTCTGTCTGTAAGCAGGAACCAGATGTATCATGGAGTGATCTGAGAAGCCGAGGGCTGGCTTGGGAACAGCGCGAAAAGCTCCGCGCACGGTGGTGTAACAGTGATCCAGAGTGTTCTCCTCTCTGGTCGGGCATTTGATAAACTGTCTGTATTTGGGTAATTCCTGGCTCAAGTTTCCCTTATTAAAATCCCCCAGGATAATAATCAGAGAGTCCGGGTATAAGCGTTCCATACACAGTACTTGCTCTGCGAGTGCGCGCTGAGCCTCGCGCGCGTCCGCGCATGGCGGTATGTAAACAGAGGCAAGAATGAATGAAACAATTTCCCGCGGGGAGTAATATGGTTTACAATGAATGAAAAGATATTCCAGAGCAGGAGAGCAGTGCTTGGAGATCACTGTCACATCGTTACACCAGTTTGTATTGACGTAGAAACAGAGCCCTCCGCCTCTGCTCTTCCCTGAGAGCGCACAATGGCGATCCGCGCGGAACAGCCCAAAGCCCTGCAGCTCCAGAGCGCAGTCCGGGATCCGCTCATTTAGCCAGGTCTCAGTGAAGCAGAGGACACAGGATGTGGCGAAGTCCTTGTTTCTTCTCATGAGCAGGCTGAGTTCGTCTTATTGCCCAGTGAGCGTACGTTGGACAGAAAAATGCCGGGGAGAGGCTCCTCTCCTCCTCAGACGCACCAGCAGGCCTCCGCGCTTTCCCCTTTTACGGGCCCACACTTTTTTGGCTAGAACATGAACTAAATCAGCCGCAGATGCCAAGAAAACAGGCAATAGGTCCATGGGAACGGTGGGTCGGATGTTCATAAGTTCCTCACGGGTGTAGGAACAGCCAGATGCACAGTTAAAAAGTAAAAACAAAAGAAAAAGAGAGCAGCAAAGAGCCATGTCGACCGTACGAGGCGCCATCTTGTTGATAGCATGTGGCAGCTATCGGCTCAAGTTTGGTGGATTCTGGTCAATATCCTTTCACATGAACTGTGCTATACAAATAAACTAGTCTTGACTGCGGTAGTCAATATAAGTTCTTTATTCATTCTTTATTTGCCAGGGAAATCAGTACTAATAATACTAATAATACTGATAATACTAATACTACTAATAATACTAATAATACTGATACTATACATCTTTGGACCAAAGCAGTCCCAGTAACATGTGTATTACGTCTCTGGACCGATCCTGAACCATCAAAGGATGAAGTGTGTTGCCTGGCAACAGAGTCATGTGACCAGCCCTGACTCACGCTCCTCTGGACCCCATGAAACGATAATTACACACATCTCACTCATTCACTGCAAAAGTGATGAAAAGTCCAAAATGTCTGAAATTTGGCCAAATGTGTCCATATTTCAGCAGATTCTGCCTTAAACATGATTTTCCAACGGGACAAAGATAAAAGACACAGAAATATCTCGTTGGAATGAGAATAAAATGCAATAGTTCTCAAAATAAGACGGCTTTGTCCCGTTGGAGAAAGTCAGAATGTGTCAGATAAAGATAAAAACAGTGTTCGAACTGTTTGATCCAAAAAGGTTCATTTTGAGTTAAAAATATTATTTTTTGGTTCTTTTGAAACACAGGTTTAGTATATGTTACAATATATCATATTGAATTGACTTTTTAATCATTATTTTATCTTGTGAAGACTAGGGCTGGAGAAGCTGTTCCAAAAACCTTCAATAATCTACTCAGTAATAAACAAAAACAAGATTATTCAGAACAATGGAGCGAGAGGCGGCTGTGGTGAGTTACGACTTTAAACTTCCTCAGAGCCTGTGTCCAGTTTGTTCCTCTGTGACCTCTGACCTCTGCCTCAGTGACCTGCTGCTGACCCTGACCACACTATGACCTCTCTCCGCTCAAACACACAGAGCACATTCACTCAGAGTCAGTATTCTAGGGTAAAGTGGACAGATTTGTTTTGCTTCTTTTAATGTGTAAAACCATTCATTCAACAATTGGTCTTTCTGTCATCACCGAGTCTGCGGGAACGGACAAATATTTATAATCCAAAATATTTTTCTTTCCATAAACCTTGTATTAGGAGTGGACTGGCCGTGTTGCTAAGATGGTTGCTAAGATGGTTGCTAAGATGGTTGCTAAGATGGTTGCTAAGATGGTTGCTAAGGTAAGCCGCCATTTCCCTCACGAATGAAGGCATCTGATTTGTTAATTATGGCTCAGATCTGGATTTACAAAGACAATCAAAATATAAGCTCCAGGATAATGGAGAGCACCAAACAGTGATAAATGTCACTGAGCAACAGGAGTTTACTTCAAAGTCAAGAGGAGGATCTTTGAGTGACGTGGTTGTTTATCGTTTATAGTTTAGCTTATATTAATATCTCTGGTCTTCTTGTGTTAAAGTGTGTATAGTGCATTTTCTCATCTATCCTTTTGAGTTTTGAGCCTCTCTCTTCTTGCTGCACAGCGAGTGGCACATGTGAGTGGCCAGAGATTTGGAGCAAAACTTTGTCCACGAGCACTTTCCTATTGGGCTTCCTTGAGCTAGTAAGTAAGTGAGTCAAGTTTATTTGTATAGCGCCACAGATAAAAAGTGTCCATCCATAGACTGTCTGAGGTAAATCATGGACCAATCACAAGAACATTATTCCTAAATTCAACATTTTCAACATTTCTTTTTTCAAAACCGTAACCAACAAATCCATAGAGTTGTTTCAGCAGAAAATCTCGAACACGGACACAGCACAAACACAGAATCAAAGCGTCACAAAACACACAGCGACAATAACAATACGTTGCTATTAAGACAATACATACATTAATTTGCTTCTTCATGCATATTGGTGATTTGCTGAGTGAAAAATCCAACAGACTCACAGCTCGGACAGACCCAGGCCGCTCCAGGCCGCTCCAGGCCACTCCAGGCTGCTCCAGGCCGCTCCAGGCCACTCCAGGCCGCTTCCTCCCTGTCATCCTCCACACTTTCCCTTTTCTGAGGATTCGGAGCAACAGCTTTGGCCTTTAGCCTCCTGCTTCACCCTGACTCTGCTCTGATTGGCCAGACCTGACTCTGTTCTGATTGGCCAGACCTGACACTGCTCTGATTGGCCAGACCTGACTCTCGCTCTGATTGGCCAGACCTGACTCTGCTCTGATTGGCCAGACCTGACTCTGCTCTGATTGGCCAGACCTGACACTGTTCTGATTGGCCAGACCTGACTCTCGCTCTGATTGGCCAGACCTGACTCTGCTCTGATTGGCCAGACCTGACACTGTTCTGATTGGCCAGACCTGACACTGTTCTGATTGGCCAGACCTGACTCTGCTCTGATTGGCCAGACCTGACTCTGCTCTGATTGGCCAGACCTGACTCTGCTCTGATTGGCCAGACCTGACTCTGCTCTGATTGGCCAGACCTAAAGCAGTGATTTAGTGGCTCCAGGTGGGAACAGATGTTTGGGTGGAGAGTTATGTCTGGGAGCTGCAGGGTCTAAACAACAATGTGTGTGTGTGTGTGTGTGTGTGTGTGTGTCGTGTGTGTGTGTGTGTGTGTGTGTGTGTGTGTGTGTGTGTGTGTGTGTTTGTGTGTGTGTGTGTGTCTGCGTGTCTGCGTGTGTGTGTGTCTGTGTCTGTGTGTCTGTGTGTGTGTGTGTGTGTCTGTGTCTGTGTGTCTGTGTGTGTGTGTGTGTGTCTGTGTCTGTGTGTGTGTCTGTGTGTGTGTCTGTGTGTCTGTGTGTGTGTGTCTGTGTGTGTGTGTGTCTGTGTGTGTCTGTGTGTGTGTGTGTGTGTGTGTCTGTGTCTGTGTGTGTATGTGTGTGTGTGTGTGTCTGTGTGTGTGTCTGCGTGTGTGTGTGTGTGCGAGAGCAAACACAGGTTATACCCACAGGAAAAACATAACAAAGTAAAATCCAGTCAATGCAAACTTTGCCTCAAATGGTCGTAATAACTGAATGATGGGTTTTTATGGTCCCTGAAAGT